ACAGTACATTGTATTGGTAAATGTTTGCATAGCTGCTGGGTGAGAATGGCAATGCCTAAGCGCATAGGAGATGGTATATAATTAATGAACAGAGTTGATCTGAATTTCAGATGAAGTCAAGTTTTAACCAAATTTTATGAATTAGGACGGCCAAATTCACATTTCAATGTTATTGTCGGTGGTTCAAATTTCCAAAAGCCGGCTAGGAGAAAGAGACTAAAGGCTGTCCAAAAGGCTGTTTCTGCCTTATATTTGCTTTTGTCATTTCCTGAACCCTCTTCCTTGTCTACCTGTGCCACCAGGTCTGACTTTTTTATCATAGTATCAGTATTCCTTGTAGAATTTTTAAGGAAGTGACTCAATTAGTTTTTTTAACCCCATTATCACATCAGACAGGGCTGCCAGGATCTTCCCAAACCATTCTACACAATTTTGTATAATCTGTTACTTTGTACTGCACACTTTTTGCAGCCTGCTTCGGATATTCCTTGACATTTATAAGACTTTTGGTTAAGAAAATCTGAATTTCTAAGGTTAGAAAACTTTGTTCAGCTGAACCTCAAGTGATTGAAATTTTTAAGGAAGTTCTCTCATCTCTGATTCATTTTTTTACTGGTCTTGGGAAACTTTGTGAAGCTCTCATCACCTAAAGATTCTATCACAAGGGACTAAATGTTTATCATGGTGTACCAGAGTTCTGCCTATGTACTTTAAGCATCTCCAGACCTATTGTGGACACTTATCAAAGTTTCAGTCATGCACATCCACCTCCGTATTTTTGTATCAGTGTAAAGGGGTAATTCTTTTTCCCACTAACCACCAATGTTATTGGGTAGGTATGTTAAAATGCTTATAACTGATATAGAACGTTTTATTGAGACAAAGGGTGTTTTCAGCATATATTTAATGCAGTATATATCTCAAACCCTTTATTTTAGTCATTAATTTCTTGAAATTTTCATTTTCTCAAAATAAATTGATGTTAAGGTGGTGATATATTATAATATGCAAACATTTATTCAGATAATTGCAATCAATTGCAAAGTAATGTACTTTCGACATAAAAATAAACAAATAGGCTATACAATCATGGGTATGCCGCTAGGGAAGTCAGAAATAGAGAAAGATTTGGGGGTCATTGTAGACCACAAACTGAATGGTAGCTTGCAGTGCCAAGCTGCGGTAAACAAAGCTAGCAGGGTCTTGTCCTGTATTAAGAAGGGGATGTATTGCAGGGACAAGTCTATAATTGTGCCTCTATATAGATCGTTGGTTCGGCCACATCTGGAGTACGCGGTCCAGTTTTGGTCGCCGGTACTGAGAAGGGATGTCCTTGAACTGGAGAGAGTCCAGCGGAGGGCAACAAAACTAATTAGGGGAATGGAGGACCAGAGCTATGAGACAAGGCTTCTGACCTTAAACATGTTTACGCTGGAATTAAGGAGATTAAGGGGGGATATGATTTTCATGTACAAGATGTTCAATGGTGACAGCTACATTGGCAACAAACTGTTTGAGATTAACTGCATTACAAAGACTAGAGGCCACCACCTAAAGTTGGTGGAGAAAAAATTCCAGCACAATGGGCGAAGAGGGTTCTTTACAGTAAGAGCGGTTAAAGTCTGGAACTCACTGCCATCGGCAGTGATTTCAGCCAAGAGTGTAGATTTGTTCAAGAAACATTTGGACAATTTCTTGAGGGACCGTAATATCCAGGGATACCAGTATCCCTAAGAATGAGATGATGCGTGGACCTATAATTTTCTAATGCTGTATCTTTACTTTGTACACCTTGTATATTTTATGTGTGCCAAAATTAACAAAATTAATTGTTAGCCCTCTTTACAAACTCTTGCTACTATACCTCCACTAATTACAGTAAATGGTAATTATATATAGTGGGAATTGTATTATTGATACATGCAGCACCTAAGAAGCCGATGCCTTGAAGAAAAAAAAATTCTGAAATGTACAAACCACATTCATAGAACTTACAGATGTTTATTACAATGTTCCAAGAAATTCTGTATGTGTTCATAGCAGTTCTTTAAATGTGGCTTGTGGGGATATAAATATGGGTGCTTCCATTTGTTGACTTGATTTTTAGTTGTATTGCTAGATTAATACCTAATCTTCATATCAAGGTTATTTTGAACTGCAGTGCAACCAGCAATAGAATTCACGGGGCAACAGCAAAACAAAATTAGCAGCAAACTGTTCATGTCACTTATTGTTATATTAAACTTCTGGAGAAGCTGTGGCCTCATTCCAAATTCAGTTCAACATAATAAGTGGCATCCAGGCAACTGAAGCTCAGCAGCTTGCATTGTGAGATGACTGAAAGCCATTGAGATTCGAAACCTCTAAGTGGGACCTGAAACTACTCTTTCTGTACTATGTCATCTGTTATCATTTAACCCCTTCGTGACAGGAGACGTACACTGTACGTCCAGCCACAAAGGGACCAAATGACTCGTCACGTACACTGTACGTGACGAGTTATTTGCTGCACTAGAAGGCTGCTAACCGCTGAGAATCAGCGGTTACCTTTCAGTAATAGATGTCTAACTATCTAGAGATCCATTACTGAAAGGGTTAACCTTTTTCAGACACCCGATACCTTAATATCGGGTGTCTGAGAGTCACAGCAAAGCAGACACACATGTCGGCTTTTGCCGGCATTCTGACAGCTCGTATAGATCGAGAGATATCTCTCTCAAGCTATACTGGCTTTTTTTTTTTTTATCTTTTGACTTTCAAGAATAGATACAAAATGTTATGTATTAGACACATAATGTATCTATTCTTGAAAGTAGAATGTTTAAGTTTTCTGAAACATTCACTGACAGCTGAATCCTGAACTGCTGCAGGATCAGTGTCACTAACTTATTATCGGCTGTTCTGAAGTTTGAAGCAGCCTGATAATAAAAAAAATGTATTAATTTATCAAGCAGTAATAGTGAGATTAATTCACAATGACTGCCTGATATAATTAAATAAATAAAATTTGTCAGTATAAAAAAAGTGAAAAGTGTAAATAAATTTAAAAAAATAGTGAAAAGTGTAAAAAAATTAAAAATAAGGGACAAATAAATGAATGTATGTATTGCATTTTTTTTTTAGCTGTGCTGGTTTTGTTAAAAAAAAATACTACAAATCAAAACTGGGAAAAAAGTTTTTTTTTACGTTTTTTCCTCTTTTTTTAATTTGTATTTGTCCTTAGCCCTATCTGTCCTCTAAAAAACAATATATAATATGTGTGGGTGCACTTTGTAAGAAAGTATATTACTGACGTGGAAGAATCACACAGCAAAAATGTCAAAAGTGTGTCAGTCATTTACGAACAGAAACCAAAAACAAGCTCAGTCATGAAGGGGTTAAAGTAAAATTATATAATTTAATTTTTTTAATTTGTGTGTATGTGTGTGACTATAAAATGGTACGATATTGATAGAGTAATCACACATATAATATGTTTCTTTGTAATCATTGCAATTTAATTTTAGAATAAGTGCCAAGCACTCCAAACTGAGGTCCCCCTGAGATCTGATTGTGTGGTTAAGGAGTCCAGTGTGTTTTATCTCATGACATGGGATCAAGCCCAAGCACTACCTTAGTATGTAAGATGTAGGCATAAAGCATTGTAATAGCCTCCCATGTATAGCCATTCAAAAGCCCTGAGCCTGTTGTTGGGTGCTGCCATCATTAATGGTATTTCAGCGGCCCCAGCAGACAACGAGCTGCAATTCGAGAGCTGGGCCACCAGAGAGAATAAATAGATATTTCCAAAAAGGGATAGGGCTATTGCATGCAGAAGGGGAGGGGGCTTTGCTAGGGAGATTAAACTTTCAACAGTGTCAATTTCCTAGAAGGTTTAGAAGCACATTACAAGTCAAGAAAAAAATGTTTTTCGAAAGGGAAAATGCTACAAGTAAGTATTTGAAAATGCTTGATTTTTCTTTGCTTTTACTTGGAACATTTACTAGAACTCTAAATTTCTGTTGGACGTTGTATATTTATAAGTTAACCGTTCTTTCTCAGACTTGTAGATATAAATAGTTTTAATACATTAAAAAAGAAAAGACAATTAGATGTAATTCAACCACATTTTATTGAGTATTTGTTTAAGAAACAGAGGTACACAGGCACACCCAATAGCTTTTTACATTTTCTTTAAGGCCCCGTTCACATTGAGCGATTTATCGCGCGATTTTTGTAGCGATATCGCTCATATTTCCGCACTATATCGCTCTATGTAGCTTCACCAATACAATTCAATGTAGCTGTTCACATCTCGTCGCTCAATGTCGCTCAATATCGCTCAATATCGCTTGTAGCTCGTCGCTGGTAGCTTGTCGCTTCTACATGACCCTTTTTTAGAGCGATTTTGAGCGATATTGCTCCTGATTGCATACAGCCCAATAGGAAGATGTCGCGCGATGTCGCGCGACACGTCGCTCAACGTCGCTCGTCGCTCAATGTCGCTCAAAGTCGCGCGATTTGCATGTCGCTCAGTGTGAATGGGGTCTAAATAGGAACTAATATGCTTAGACAAATCTTTAGAAATGTGAAAATCTTTTCTGTAAACTTTTCTTAAAGGAATGTAGTACTTCCACCAATATGGAAAAAAAGTTAACTACCACAAACTTTGGTGTTCACCAACATTTAATAAAAAGCAAAATCTAGCAAGTGGTGCTTAGATGACAAATCATGCCAGCTTTAATCCAAAAAGCAGAGGTTACTTTTGAAAATTCTGACAAAATAGCGTGTGTTTTGTCTTTCACACTCTAAAGCTAAGATTAATTTAAATTAGTTTCAGTTTAAAGAAAAAAATACACAGGAATGTAAAGTAATCACTTCTTCCCTAGCATCCTTAGTTGCATTGCAACAACTGAGATAAGAATTTAAAAAAATAAAAATAGAAATAAGCAAAATGACTATCATTTTTTTGCACTAAATCAGAGTTCCAAAAATTGGCATAATTTACAAATAAACCCATTTGAGTTAGTACCAGAAAAAACACACTGAAGTCTTGGTAGAAAAAAGGAAAGCACCACATGATGTAAAGTGTTTCAAAAACAGAATCCCTGAAGAATATGATTTGTTTGAACTCCAAAAGTACAGAGATTCAAGATTCATGTTAGAAATGGTGGCCGTTCATGAAGTGGTATAGCTTGAATAGATTTTATTTTCAAATATTTGTTTGTAGCACAAGATCACAACCTATTTTAGGTAATTGCAGAGGGTGTTATATTAAGAACTATTTGTTTTCTTTTATACATTCAGGTTTTTTTTGTTTGGTTCATGCTCAAAATATACTCCACCCTTGTTGAAAAAAAAATGTTATACAAATATATTTGTGCAAGATGACACACAATCCAAATGATCCATATTCCAATGTAGTATACTCCTTAACGTGTTCTCACGCTCATCTTCTACCATTTTGATAGCAGTAATCAGTTCTCATGAATTTATGACTGGTGACTTCTCCTCAGCTTTCTTCTCACTGTTGGACCTGTTAAAGATTGACAAATAGGATCAGATCACAGGAAAGATTTCTGACTACATTCATACACAGGAACCCATCACCAGTGTTAGAACCTGTTGAAATAGTTATTAGTGAACAAACATTGGGTCTTATTTACCAAATTGGTCAAGCTTGGCCCAATGTAAGTATGCATATGCAATACCTATTCGGCTCGTGGGGACCCTGTAAAGCACTGTAGTAGCTGGAGCTGCTACAGTGCTGACAGCAATCTTCTGCATCCTGTATGACACTGAGAGGTTTTGCCTCTGCTCTGAAAATATAGGAGTTTGCTTAGCACAGTGGCACAGAGAACCCTAGTATTTTTATTCAATGAATACAAGGTATTCTCTGATTGGACGAGGGGTGGATCATAACATCACAATCAGAGAATGCCTTGTATCCAGCGATGAAAATACTAGGCTTCTCTGTGGCCGCTGTGCCTAGAGAGCGACCCTCTGTGTTTTGAGAGAGTAGGGAAGATCCTCAGTGCAGGACAATAGAGGATCCAGAAGTTTGCTATCAACACTGTAGCAGCTCTGGCTACTACAGTGCTATGGGATGCCCATGGACTAGTCAAGTATGGCATATGCATACCTACATTGAGCCAATCTGGATAATGTAAGTATGCATGATACTTTATAACTGGAGTTCAGTTTTAAGTCTGCCCTTAGAGGGGTTTGCTGGCTTTGACAGCTGTCATTGGCTGTCACCAGACTCCGGTTCATCTCTACAATGACAAAAACTTCCTATTGGATACATTGTATGAGGGGGAAGGTCTGACAATCAACAGACTCAAAATGAATCTGCCTGACCCCTGCTCACACATGTTGAAACATAGGTTTAGGCTTATTGACCCTTGTAAACAAAACTTTGCTTATAATTGGTTTCTCTAATTTTGAAAAGATTGGATTCCCATAAGTGGATCAGCTAAAACAATATTCACATAAATATTACAGACCCAGAATAGACAGGCATGCTGTTAGGGCAAAAGCATAGCATTAGTAAAGCTCTACCTTATGCTGCAAGACCATGTGAGTGCAAATTAGCCTAAAACACAAAAGTAAGAATTCAGTGGTTGGTATTGCCAGTCTTAGTGTAAGATCACCTCCAGTCCTGTGTCATACACAATTATTTTTACAAGAGGATTCTTACCATGTTAAATACATTTTTGGACAGGCAATGTTATGAAAGAGGTCAACAGTGCATGTTATTTTAATGCAGTTAACAAATAGCTCTTTTATTCATCCTCAGTAAGACATAGATATTTTCCTAAATCGTTAACGTTCTTTAATATGCATTTCTTCTCCTCTGTATCATGTATACCTTTTTAAAGTGAATCTATCATGATGCCTTTGTTAGGAAAGTAAAATTGCAGGACATTGAATGACTATTAGGGGGAAAAATCAGTGCTATAATCATGTGCTTGAATTCAATCTACTGTACACTACATATCTGCAGTAAATTAAAGGCTAAACTCTTCTTCTCTCTAGCATGTGATGTTTGGTGTAATGTTATATTACATCTGAATACATTTTAGTTCTAAAAACAATCATCTAGGATTGCCAGTAAGCTTAGGGTGAGGGAAACCTAAGGGAACTGAAAAGCATCATAGAGTTATGTGCTGCAGTGCTATACAACAGCAGTTCTCGATGAACAGGATATGACATAATGGTTTGATTTTAAAATGCCATGTACTTTAGTATAACAGTGCAAAAACCACTTGCCCGGGACCCGGAACTACATGTCCCAGGCGTCGGGCAATACGAATTCCACACCCCTGGACAGGTAGTTATATATTTGACTATAATAATGAGATCCAAAGAGCATTGGGTATGCAAACTTCAAATTCCAAAAACGAGAGTTGCAAGCATACTTCATGTATAGAAAAAACAACATACCAAAAAAAAGATCTTATTCCAAATATGTTACATGTATCAATTATTTACATTAACTCATTGTAACCAAATGGTAATCAGCTTTCAGTAGCATGACTACAGTAAATAGCTGGAAGTTAACATCTCACTGTTTGCTGCTTGTTACAGCATGTTATTATAGCTTTTTGAACATATAAAATAAAAATAATATCCACCATGTACACACCCATTATTTCATTTTTAGCAGTTAATTTGCCATACATATTGAGCTGTTTAGCCACCTAAGTCATAAACCTGCTGTTCATAAGAAAATGAAATATTGCAGAACCCATGAACATTTCAATTATACAATTACAATTATACAGATTAAACAACTCTCAAGGTTTCAGGAACTGATGACTAATAGGAATTACTTTATTGACCAAGTCATCTAAATTTTCCAGTGTATCTTTCCAAGTGGGCAGTATTTCAGAATGTATTTTATCCCCTGCTAACAAAAGTAAGTCTAACATAATTTTTCCTAATAGCTGCCCTTCTGTCATCCAACTTTACTGCCTCCTGAATTGTTAAATGGGATATCTATCTTTTCTTTGCACACTTCTTAAAGACAGACAGTCAACAAAAAGATGTGTCAAGCTGCTGCTTGAGTATGTGAATTCAATATATGTTTTACCTTGCAAGGATGTTCTGAAACATATGGTCAATAGTGCCTGTAACCTCTTACTTTTGTAAGGTCATGGAATTGGGAAATTCTATTTCTATTTTACTACCTACATTAAAAAAAAGGTAGCAGATCTAATACTTTCTTCAATGCTGAATATATTTATGCGCCTTCTCTTCAAATATGTTGCCATTCCCCATAATGTATGATGTTACTTTACGCTAAAACAGGTATTCACAGGGCAGTTTGACTTTGAGAGGATGAGCCTGGGAACAGTCACAAGTCTTCAACAATATCTACTCCACACACTATCAGTGGCTGCTAAGTTGATAAATTAAGAGATATCCCTTTTGGTACACATTTTGGTCTATTACTAGCAGTCAGAATTAGTATTATCATAAGCACTTTTCCCAATAGTAGGTCAAGGTTAGGTCAAGATAATTGTTTATCTCAGTGCAACAAACCATATTTGTAGTCAGCTTAGTCTGCAGCATCAGTTCTAGACCTGGCTTCTGCAGCCTGCCCATATATTTAAGAATAACGTAAGTCTCTAACAACTTTGGAAGGTATCTTCTCTGGAACAATGAATGTGTGCAGTGTACTTTATGACATCTCTCCTTGCATGGATGTTTAGTGTTGTGTGGAACTATTCTTTAGTACATACTGAATATAGTATGCTTGTATTGCTGTTGCTCAGCCATCCCTTTGTAACTTCATTATAATAATGTTTAAGCACATATTACCCCTGAGCAAATCTTCACTTAATTAAGCTACATTAGTTCTCTTATGAAACATTTTAAAACATGTTTTGGCTTGATTGTCTGGAAGGCATTCTAGCGATAATATACTTTTTATACAGATGAAAGATTTGTTCTTACTATCACTGTTGATACGACTGATTAGAGTTTTTCAAATGAATCTATACTAAATCATAATTATAAAAATCAGGTGAAATTCTCAGAATTAGGAAAGCAGCAGTGTGTCAAGCTTCAACTGTCTCTCTATTAATAATATGCCAGGTTAAAAACTTCATAAACATGTATTGCTCTAAAAATAGCTACCACACCTTATTCTACATGCATATATTTTATCTATTTGCATTAACCATATACATTTAGAGGAGACCCCTTACATTCAGTATTACAATTATCAATATTGAACTATTTATATTTAAACAGCATGCCAGTTAAAGTGGAAATCACCCTACAAATAATGCATGAACATTAAACTGTCATATAACACATGTATCTTGATAAATGCATAGCACCATTGTTGACTTTTGTCCACACTCCAATTATCCAGCAATCAGCATTGAAAACCACTGCTCATTTTCCAGTATCACTCAGTCCCCCCTAACCCTCCCCCCTCACCCCCCCCATCCTTGTGCTATCTCCATCTTTGAAAATATCAGGGAACAGAGGAAGTGTATACCAGCCATTCTTGGCAACAAGACACAGAGAGAGCATGGGTGGGCTTAGCGACACCATGAACTGCATATTGCTTCTAGTAAATGGACGGCAGATTCCAATGCTGATTGCTGGATAGCCGGAGTGTGGACAGAAGTCAAACACGATGCTATGCATTTATCAAGGTGTGTTATATGTGTTATTTGGCTTTGTAAAGCTCATTGATGATTTCTAGGGTGAACTTCCACTTTATGTAGGAACATGATCAAACACAAAATATAGAAATTATGGTACTGTTTTGTAAAAGAGAGAGTTCGCTCTCACATCACATGGTATTATATATTTCTGAGTAGCTCTTTAATTCGTTATAAGCATATTGTTACCACCACTGAGGTAGTGGTTACCATTGGTTTTTGGAGTACCAGTGAGCACCGCAGCATCCACTAAGGCAATAAATCTCCAAACAGGAACAATAAAAGGCTTGATCACAACCTGACTAGACTTTGATGGGGAAAATCTATCATTAGTTGCTAACTGAATTGGGCACATACATTTTCAATAGCCATTGTTATCACACAACCTTAAAATGAAATTGACTCCTTTTAGGACATTAGGAAACATAATAAAGAAGTTAAAACATAGTAAATCAAATATATCCTATACCTTGTATCCTTCTGGACTGTGTTCTTCTGACCTGAGGTTCTGGATAAAAGAGTAGAAAGAATAAGATAAATGCAACAAGTAGGGAAAGCAACATCATTATCTAGAAGGTCTATAAAAAGCCCAATCAATTTCTGTAGGACTGTGAGATGTCTCCTGTGTTGTAATGGTTTGCCTATAAAACAAAGATCTTAAAAGAAGCATAGTTATTTTTCCTGTTGTCACTGAGCAAAATATTCTCATTAACTTCTGCCAAAAGGTTAGACTTGCTAGTTATGCAGGTATTATAAAAGCTTGATGACACCATTTGATATTATTTGTTTATGGAATGGTCTTAAATGTATAACGTCACATTGCTTCATAATGAAATAGTATTTTAATTACATTTCCACAATTTTATATTTTATAAAATTTAAATGACACTCTTTCTGATGTATGTATACTCATACAAACTGCTTCTGCAAAAACTGCTGGACACTTTGATGATATATACAATTTGGCCACTATTGAAGAAAAACTATTTATACATAGATTTTGGTGATCCAGGTTGAAGCTTTATATGCACAATTAGCTAGAGCATTTCATTTTTCATCCTGGGTATGCAGGAATAGCCATTAAAAGATTCCAAATGAGTTCAGCAAATATGCCAAGTACAAGCAGCCCATTAGCTGCAGCGCTAAGGCTAGCAGTTTTAACTGTAGGTTGTGATACCTGCTAAATGCATCACATACAAAAGGTGTCAGAAGCCCAACCTGTGTTAAAATTATGACTGTGCACATAGGAATAATACATAGGAATAATACAATTTTCAAAAAGGGGGCAAAATGCCAACCTGGGAATTACAGGCCAGTTAGTCTTGCATCAGTAGTGTGCAAACTGCTAGAGTGGATGATTAAGGACTATTTAGTAGAATTTGTTCAGGCTAATGGTATAGTTAGTGAGAATCAACATGGGTTCAGGAGAGACCGTTCCTGTCAGACTAACCTACTGACTTTTTACGAGGGGGTAAGTAGAGATCTGGATGGGGGGAGGTCTAAAAAATAAGAATCTCCACCAATAAAATTTCAATCACACGTTTTTTAAAGGCTCCTAAATTATATCAGTCAAATGTGTTTACGTACTATATTGATATTAGCATTTAGACTATTTAGTGTTATCTATGCATTAAAGATAACATTCAATGGCATATATCAGATTATACTCCTGTAGAATGTACATTCTGATGTCCCTGCCTCAGTCACACCCAGTAACCCAATTTATACAATCTATGGGCATTTTAAAAAATCCATCTTAGTTTTACCAATTTTGCTACGATATAATTTATTATTAAAATACCAGTTCTTACCTATAGTAGAAGACTACAGTCCTCAGAAGAGGCCCATGAAAACACACAAGAAATATACAGCATTGTATGCGGATTGTGTCCTGTGTTAGGTGACACTCAGGTACCAGCTACTGCACTGCTCTCATTATAGCTAGTGCCCCTTCCTAAAATACATTTAAGATGAGTCCTCATCCCCCACAGACTCAGGGGTCTGGCTCATGGGCTTTGCTAACCAGTCTTGGTAGGATTATGGATGGGTTTGTGGGCAGAATTATGGGCAGATTAAATACAGGGTTGAATGAGGACCAATGGGCATTGCTAGATGGTCTGCATTGGTAAGAAAAATCTCCTGTAGTCCTGAGTGCCGCTGACAGTCTAGCAGAAGGTGGAATGTCTGAATGATGCTGGCCATGATACTGGAAATAACATAGCACCACAGAGTTGTATTTAGAATTAAGGAGGACACTGTGAGAAGCATTGAGTATTGTGGGAAACCTGAGGGAATGAAAAGCACACAAGGTGAGGTTGAAGTTCTGATTTCAGCAAAGATTCTATGGATTGTGTGCATAATATACACCTGTTGTGGAGCAGTTGTTCCTTATGGCTTATATACATTACACTTTTATAAATCAGTATTGTAGGGCCTATAGACTTTAGAGTTTAGACAGTGGCTAGATGTGAGCAAACAATGGCAGAAAAATCTTCCCCCAACCCAATGCATACATATACACACATGTGTATGCAGATGTATGTTACAACTAGACAAATAACAGATTTTGGGCTACACAATCCAATGCACAGGTTTTTATCCCAATGGTGAGGACTTAAGAATGTCTGCCTTGGTTTGCCATACCCTACAGACAACCTAGTTGTGATCTGTTTTTGCCAACAATGACCATCTAACATCTATGAGCACGTTTATTAACATCATCATCATCATCATTAAAGATCATGTTCATTTGATACATTTGGATATTAAAATTACATAGCATTAAGTTAATACATAAATATGCCCATAATTTCAATTGTTAATTAGTTATAAATCATCTTGTGTTAGATATCTGAAGGAGATACATTAAAAATGATCATGTTTAATCAACATTGGTCTACCAAACACATGCTGTAAAAGAAAAGTTAGGGGAGGAATGAATCTTTGTTTTAAATTTATTTTTTTCTTTCTGTTTTTGAAATATGAGCTTTTAAGGGTTTTTTTTTTTCTTTATGAGACACAAGTATGAAGCAAACAAATGTTCATTGTCCCCTTTTTGTTAGTTATTTTTTAAAGACTAAATTGTATTACAAACACGTTTCCAAACAAATTTGATTTTTTTATTACAGGAATTGTTCAGATTGTTGTAAATGATGTAATGAAACCAATAAATGTAAAATATACAACTTTAGTCTTTAAAAAGAAATGATTACACCAGATAGCTTACCATCACCAGCATAACCTGTGTTATATGATATTAGTTGCCCAGTTGAACTCACTAACCTCCCTGGAGAAGCCTTTTCAGTTCTTCATCTTCAAGTAATTGTGAATCACCTTCAATGAACTTGGATACCTTGGTGACTTCTGATAGGATACATGTTTATGGCATCAATGTTCAGGAATGTATGTATAAACTAGAGGGTTGACATAACCCATACAGTAGTACTTATTGCATATTTAATGACCAAGAGAAAGGACACTCAGACATGTATAAATGTTGTCTCTGGAAAAATAGAACTCTACACATGGATGGTTTTATCAAAAGGATGATTGTAATATGGTATACCTCTTATGTACTCCATATATCTTGTGTACTAATTAAATGGAATTACCAAACATTTACCATACCTGTTTAAATCAAATAACCAATCAGATTATTATTCTGACTGTATCTTTTGTGAATGACTAACAGAGATTCTGAAAAAAGATACATTTACTTTTTTAAGTCTCTATTCAGCTTATTTGTACAAGTCAATACAAACAGAAAATCATAAGTTATATAAGATAGATCACGGATAACCTACATCTAGACTGTTAAAACAGTTTTTGTTTTGTGTTTGTAATGTTTGTTCATTACAAACACATTAACACAGTATTATTAAATTATTAACACACTTTTTTCTCTTGGTTAAAAAATAATTTCTTGATTGTTTTTAGCTGTTGGATAAGTTTTGACACTGTCTTGTTTTACATCAATTATCCTCTACATTTGCAAAAAAAAATTATCATTATTGATTTGCACAATAATGTTATGATATAAATAACCAATGAACACAAATGTGTTTGTTTTAAAAATATATATGAGTAAGGTTAAAGGGCATTCTAAATTTACCGAATTACATTTTCCCCTAATCCATTGCTGCTTTGAATATAACGCAGCTTAACTGGGCATGGCTACCTGTTTTAGATCAGCCCCTTTGTGGTGACTGTTTACCTAAATAAGCAGTCAAATGTCTTCAGAGTTTTTCTCTGTGTTCCTGTTGGGAAAAACCTCTCTAGCTTTCCGTCTTGGCGATACACTGTCACACCATGACATAAAAGAAGTCACTGGGACACATGACAGGGGTCTCTTCCCAAATGGAGATACAGACAGTTATAAAAAAAACTAAAACCTGATAGAATTTCTAAGTAAGAAACAAAAAGAGGTTTTATTGCTGTTTGTGAGATTTCAGGTGTTGGGGAGCAGGAAGTAATGGAAAATATCTCCTTGAGGACACTCAGCAATAATTTGCTTTAAGGTGCACCTGTGACCAGACTACAGACAACACATTATTCACATATTCTTAGCAAGCAGTAAACAAGCTATAACACATGCCATCCTTGACCTCTTTGGCTGCTTGTAATGTGAAATATTTTCTTTCTCAAATATCCTCAAAGTTCACAACAAAGACTCTGAAGTCGGGTTCAAGTCGGTTTCTAATAACATAGAAACATCTGCTATGTATTTACATTAATGAGCAGGCATGTTTCCAGGATTTTTTCACATAGAAACAATATTTTGGTGTATGTATGTGTTATGAACTTTGAAAATTAATTTCTCCACAATACTTTGGTGTGCATAGTCTAGGCACAGTTTCACTTTAAGGATAAACCAACCTCTTAGTTTGTAGAACATCCATACCATTTTCTATATTTGCATTTTACTAATCAACTATATTATACTTTTTCCAGTAACAGGATCATAAAAGTATATACAAACCTTCCTCTAGCCTCCGTTTAAGCTCGTCATCACTAATGTCACCTCCGATACCAGTGGAGACACGGGTGTATTTTATTTCAGGACCTGTAAAGAAATTAACCAGCAAACTCTTAATACAGTCCTGTTTATGCATCATTTTACCAAAAGCATATGATTAAATAGATAGAAATTTCATTTTAAGGAATGTTTTATTTTCTTTAAGGCAGAATGAAGTATGTGGCTCACCATTCTCTTGGTGGTATACACTTCCTTAGCCTGAAAATTTAAATTCTAGAGTGTTTTTTGTACTGAACTTGAAGAGATCATCTCAAGAGATGATTAGAGAACAGAATTATGAAAGTCCCATCATTTTTACATTACCTCCTTGGATTACTTTAGTAATTTCTGTTTCACCTTCCTTTACCAGCTTAAAATGTGGCTCACCTTCAATCACTCTAGTGATCTTAGAAATAGTGGGTTCTAACAAAGTTGATTGTAAAAAGGAAAAATAAAAGGACTGAAATGTATAACATAATAATTTGTTTAAATATAATTGTAAAAAAACCTGAAAAAGACTGGAAATAATAAAGGTGATTCTTTTTCCATTTGTATAAATTTTTATCTGAGTAGGCAGCTGTGATTCTAAGAACACATGGCTGCAAGTTTTATGGTCTAAGGAAAAATTAAAGTGGATGAAAAATATAGTGATGATAATAATCATTTATTATTTCAATGTCTGTACAAATTAAGAAAAGCAAAGATCTTGCAGTTTGTTTTTCATTTTACCTCCAACAAACTGTTTATGCAGTTCCATTTTTTCCTTTCATTACCACCTTCAATCACCCTAGTGGTTTTAGTAATTGTGGGTGCTGATACATTTAATACAAAAACAAAAAGATACAATTCCTTAGAAATTATTTCTATTATTACATGTATTAAAATGTGAATTTCAGCTATTATTAAAGATAATTGATTAGGATTGAAATATTTTGTGTGAGATAAAGAAATAGAAATTAGGTTACTATGTACAAGTAAAGGAAGGCAGAATAGATTTTCTTTCTTTTTACTTTACCTCCTTGAATCACTTTTGTCAAATAAAGTTCACCCTCCTTAACCAGTTTAAATTCTGGTTCACCTTCAATCACTCTAGTGATCTTAGTCATGATGGGTTCTGATCATTTAATTGTGAAACAAAAAGTAAAAAAATCAGATATTTACGTTACTTTTATTGTTTGATGGGACAATATTTATTAAAAAAGTAGTGAACAACGGAGGGAAGGTTGCTATGCTATTAGGAAATCAAACAAACAATCCAAAAACGTATTTTGTTAAACAAAATTATGGCCAGTGTATGGCCAGCTTAATATGTAGGAGCCAGCCTACATGAAATAAGAACTGTTTGCAAAGCCTCACAATAAATACATTTAGGTTGCGATATATGTCAACATTAGGCAACTGAAAAATCAATTTAATATATAAAACCAATATTGCCAGCATTCCTTTAGAGTTGGAAATTTGACTTGCCTCAGTCACTTTAGCCAAACTACTGACCAGTGTAATTGTAGGTTGATTTTAGGGATGCACGGATGATACTAGTATCGGTATCGATGCTGATGCCGAGTATTTGGGCTAGTACTCATACTCGCCCAAATGCTCCAATGCCTAGCCTGATACTTCCGGTATCAGGAAGTCTCGACGAGAGAGCATGGCGCCGGCTTCCCGGCCAATCAGGAAGCCGGGCAGCGTGTAATGACTCGCTTCCCGGCTACCTGATTGGTCGGGAAGCTGGCCAGTCAGGAAGCCAGTCGCCATGTAATGACACGGCGCCCAGGTTTCTGATTGGCCGGGAAGCCGGCTTCATGCTTTCTCGTCTAGTGACGAGAAGAACGGGGACGGCTTCCCTGCCAATCGGGAAGCCGGGTGGCGAGTCTTTTTTCACGCCGTACGGCTTACCGGGTAATCAGGAAGCCAGGTGGCGAATCATTACACGCCACCTGACTTCCTGAATGGGACTTCCTGTAGTCGGTATTCAGTATACCGGAAAAAATATCGGTACTCGTACTCGATACCAAATACCGGTATCGGTGCATCCCTATTATTTTTCATTTGCATTTAAATGAGCCAGACAATTCGATAATTTATTATAAAGCAAACGCCTACACACCCACACACAAACATGCAGCAGTATATCTTTAACATGAATTTGATTTCAACAAATACAAATCAAAAAAATTGTTCTAGTTATGCAACAAAAGTAACTGAACATCAGTTAACCAAATTACATGCATGTGCATATTATTAAATGTAGATAAGTAAGTCTAGGATGTTGTGCCCTCAATATATGTTGTATTATGCAACTGTAGAAGGTAGTAGAGGAAGAAAAAATAGTTCTATAAAAACCTATCATGCCAGCTACTCTGATGGCCATTGGTCATCTTTACAGTCAGGGAGTCAGGGTTAATCAATATTACTAGATTTTTGTTGGAAGTGGGTAAGAATGGGGCTAAGTATCAAGTATCGATCATGGATGCTGGTGGCAGAGCTTCTGAAGAGTTATATAATAAACCAATACAGCATATCTAGGATTCTAACTCTATTGTTTACATTGTGCATACGAAAGTTAGATGGAGAAATGTGTCAAATAGGAAGAAAATATACATTATATACAGTAATGATAAAATGTATTGTTACCACCTTGAATGACTTTGGTTATTTTAGTCTCTCCTTCCTTAAACAAGCTGAATTCTGGTTCTCCTTCTATAACTTTGGTGATTTTGGTGATAGAGGGCTCTAGAAAGATGGTTGTAAAAAAAAAATAAGCAAAGCAATTGGATAACTAGATGACTGAGTGGATGAGTCCATGAAGAGATGAATGATGGCATGACTTGATGAAGGGATGGAGATTTTGATGACTATATGGGGTTGATTTACTAACCTTATAAACACACCACGAACATGTATACACCTCTGTAGTGTGTTCCCTCCCAGCATGATCTATGGGTGGAATCTAAACACCTTTGTAGTGTGTACACACCCAGCAGGTGTGTTGTGCAAAGCCCTGCATGAATTTGCAAGGTGATCTTGTGTAAATTAGCTCTATGTTGTGTTGCTTGCGTTGATAAATGCAGGAATGTAAATGCATGAGCTAACCATTTTTGTCTAAACTGTGAAGCAGCATTATATATGCATCATGTGCATGATTTTTCCATATATGGCATTAGTGGAAATATGCTTTTAGAGACTTTTTGGTTGATAAATACGTTTTGCTGTGTAAAAATCACACGCACCTAGTGCGTGCGTGTGTTTAGGTTAGTAAATCACCCCCTATATGTTGATGAAGGGATGCTATAAGTCCATTCACTACTTTCAAATACTGTGCTTTAAAAGTAAACTTATGGAAGATATTACTAGTAAATCACGTTCTAACTGGCAAACAGTACTATGAAATGTTCTAAACTTTCCACAGTAGTGATGGTAACTTACCTCCCTGGATAACTCTAGTAATTCTGGTTTCTCCTCCTGGGATCACTCTGACTTCGGGTTTTCCTTCAATAACTTTTGTAACTCTAGTAATGGTTGTCTCTACAATAATAAAGAAAAACAATTACTACATTTTCTTTTGCATGTTGTTTTAGTGAACATGCCCTCAGGTAAAATGAGTGAAAATAATGTATTTAGCTAGCTTAAGTTAAGAAATAATAATAAAAGGCATTTGTATTGCCTCAGAGGACAATAGGAGGCTCCAGTCTGATCTCTTGCACTCCGTCTCCATGGCTTGGTATGTATAGGAAATAGACAGCAGTGATGTAGATCCAAAACATTTATTTATGATACATGGAAGATGGATCATCTGTGATCCTTGTGGAAAGGCTGCATTAAGCCAGATTCACTACCATCCTTCTCCCTAAGGGAGGTAGACTTACTTAAAGGAAGCAAATGTCAAAGAGTCTTTCATAGGCTATGGAGGAAAAGTAGGAGACACGGGCTGCTGAAAAAATTAGCATAAAAATGATTCTATTGTGGTTTTAGTTTTACCATTAGAGGGTTACTTTACTGATGATGTTATTTTAAATCTGTACATGGAATGATTTTAGAATGCAGAAATATGCAGGGTATATATTTATTAATATTTAGAAAATTCAAACGGCAATGCTACATATTTTAGAAGTAATTTATAACACCAATGGCATAAGATCATTAAAACCATTTTATCAAATACAGGCAGTCCCCAGGTTATGAACAAGATAGGGACTGTAGGTTTGTTCTTAAGTTGGATTTGTATGCAAGTTGGAACAGGTAAATTTTTTAGGTGTAATTCCAGCCCAAAAAACATTTTTTAGTTTTGGATAGCATAGGGGAGGGTTAACCCTGTTTTGCTGTCCTCACAGTGGCTCTAATTCCACACCATACTAACCAAAACAAACAAACAAAAAAATTGTATTGAGTTCTACTTTAAATGCAACTTGGACAGATGATTGTACAATTTCCTGTAATGTACAGTACCAGACCCGGAAGAAGAGGCAGGCCCTCCTCGTCTGCACATCTAACAACTTCCTGTAATGTACAGGAACAGTACTATGAACATCGGCGGGAGCATGGCTGCATTACAACTAGTGGAACAGTCTGGGACCTCCGTTTATTAGTAGGGGTCATACATAACTCGAATGTTCATAACGCGGGGGGCTGCCTGTATTCTTCTTTGCTTGAAGGGGGTTAGGACTGGAATCCACTGCATCCATTTGATGAACGATGCAAAAAAATGGATTGAATTACTAAAGGCAAATAGGCTGTTAATTTTGCAAGGGAATTTTTCCTTAGCTTCATTGAGATGACGCTTTGCTGACTTCTATCATCCAAATGTAATCATCCAAAAAATAATCCATGTGCAAGCAAAGAAGACCAGTGTAAATACTGTAAGGTCCACAACAGACAACAGATCAAATTGTATGTCAGCTCTTGTTTATTCTATTTTTTTACAATTCAACCCTTTTGGTTATGCAGTGATAATTTTTTAAGAAGTTTTAAATAGCAATAATTAGTTAGGATAGGGGATAAATAGTGATATTTCTGTGAAGCAAATAGCTATAGGTACTCATACAAACATACTTCTGCATTTTTTATGTTGTTTTTTTTAGATAAAATAACTGTTTAGCTCTAGGTTTCCTCATTTCATTGTACATTTTTTATAGAGAGGTATCATATTTCATACATTACCTTTATTCTAAATGTGTGTTCATAGAACACTCATTTCATTATTCTTATTTTCATTAATGTATAAAGTACAATTTTATTAGTACCATTTCATATGTGGTCATTCTGTGACGTTAGGTGCAAAAACATCCCACGTGAAGCATGTGAAAGCAGAAAGAACAGAGCAGTAAATATGTGTGGACACTCCACAAGTGAAAGCTGTAGAAAACAGACAGATGCACTAAAAAGACCCAAAGGTACAATTTTAATAGAGAAACTATAACTAATGGTGGGTATTAATGGCAGAGCATGCATTATGGTGAATAGTGAACAGGTTAAATATCAAACATCTGGGCTCATTGCACTATAACTCATGCAAACGTACTTGTGAACAACTCTTCACAGTTAAGAACAAATTGTAATTGACATTTAGCAAACCAGCAGGCAAAAGAATTATAGTGACAGCAAAGAGAACATTTGGTATGGGGTTGTGAGATTTCTTGGCCAACAAGCATGGTGTTTCAAAAATGAAGTGGAAAAATGTTTTCACAGAATACCTGAATCTCCATCCACAAAGAGTTCTTGATCCACAGACCCATCTGATGATTTTGCAAAGTAATATAAATTAAGCCTGATGTTATAACTGGTTGTTGTGTTTAGCAAAGGTGTCCAACATAGATTTATACGGCCCCTTTTCACCAAACACAGAAGACCAGATTAAGAACCTCTACTGGAAAGTCCACAGTCATAAATGTAGTGTAAAATGTGTCCTGGGCCTCATGGCTGTTAAGTGCAGAGGCTCACAAAGAAAGCATCACTGTATTTAACATTAGATGAGTATATTATATTTGCACTGATGCTTCCATTATATAGACACTGAAAGTCTCCACATGTGCAATTCTGAGATTCAGAGTCTACCAATGATGTTTGGGTGTTTCGTTGACCACTCTACAGATTTTGTGGAGGGGCAGGGGTCATTGCAAGCCTCCTCATGCAACAAAGACATGTGGATGCCTCCAGGCAGTGCAGGTGATGGGTTTGTAGTAAGCTCTTAGTGCCAGAAGCAGAGTATCACACTTTACACCCTTTGACATGAAGGCACTATCAAACTGTGCAGCGTTTGCAAAAATGATCTTGCAGTCACTACATTTAGCATGTTTTACTGACGAACATTGTAAATCATTAAACTTTTTTTTGCCTTTTGAAATTAATGAAGTATTTTGGAATTGATAATACCAAAAATGTTAACTGAATTACAAATAGGAATCAAAACGTAATTATGTTAAAAGCCTAACTTCAACTAACCTTTTCGCATTATTGCCTACAGTTCTTCTAGTTTGCCCCCTACCCCATACAAACAAAGCTTTAATATCAGCAAATAGATGCTGCTATTCATCCAGATAGTTAATTAATTCTGTCTCCGTCTTGGATTGGGGAGACACTTTATGGCATATTTATATAGTAGTGAATGTGACTTTCCCCAACTATTCACTGATGACGAATCAGTCACTGTAATTTAAAACACATGCTCTAGGATAAATTCACCTGCAGGCAATGTTTGGTAAATGTCACATTCACTGCTTCATAAATATACCCCTATGTTACCTAGAAGTAGTTGATACTGAACAGAAGCTTTTCTTTATTAAAGTGTTCATCGAGCCAAAAACATTTTTTTCTAGTTTATGATAGAGTGTGGAAGAATTAGAACTCCAATCATATTTAACTATCCAGGGTTCTATTAGAGACATTTTCTGGACAGGAAGTAAGGGAAAATCTGCAGCAGGGACACAGACAGAATATAAATCTGACACAGGTTCAAGCCTTCTCAGCAGTCTTATAGTGAAAAGCTTTTTTGTGCCTGTTTCTGTTGGAGAGTTGGCCACACTTCCTGTCTGCTAAAGCGCTGTCAGTTGGACAGGAACTGAGGGTAAATATTCTTAACTGAGCCCCAGGTAGAGTAAAACCTGACAGGGTTTCTAATGCAGTCACTAAATTTCCTATGTATTTTTCTTTAACACAATAAGTGCTTTATAAATATTGTATAAATTAAATTCTTTAACGGCATACATTCTATTAAAATGACAGAATAATACATAAAGATGCAGCATACTAATCTGTTATATTATTGCATACCTCCTGGGATAACTCTCTGAATTTTCTCAGTCCTGCCACCAATCACTTTTGTAATTACTTTTGGCTCTGTTAAAAAGAAAAAGAAACAATTATACAAATGTGGTCCAGATTTCTCAGTTTCATTTGGCTGATTGAGTCAGTTTATGCTAGGGATGTCCCAATACTGATACTAGTATCAGTACTGGGGTCGAGATAGAGAATTTTCACAAGTTCTTGTACTCGTGAAAATGCCCCGATACTAAAGGCCAGTACTGGTTCTTTAAAGTTTTAAACAAGTTCGGCTGTCTGAGGTTCCACACTTGCTGGGGACCTCAGTCCACCTGCTGGGGACCTTGCTGTAGCGGTCTTTGACAGCACTGGTCTGGCCCCACATCTCCTGCTCCTCCTTTCTGGCACCTGCAGAGACAGGCACAGCAAAGGACCGCCTCATACCGCCATATAACCCTGGAGCCTGGCATGAGAACGGCACCCACCCGCAGAGCCCGGCACGAGCCTGGCACCACCCACACCACCAGGAAAGCCAGGCGCCCACCCACAGAGGCCAGCACCCACCTGCACTGCCCGGAGAGCCCGGAACCCACATGAAGCCCTGGTGAGACCCAAATGCAGCCCTGGTGAGACCCAAACGCAGCCCAGGTGAGACCGCATGCAGCCCTGGTGAGACTGTACGCAGCCCTAGCGAGACCCAAATGCAACCCTGGTGAGACCACACGCAGGCCTGGTGAGACCCAAATGCAACCCTGGTGAGAGCGTACACAGCCCTGTATAATTTCTGTATAATCATGGATTGATGGAATCAATGATGTAGACAGCAATAGAGAATGGCAACCAGCTATAGAGGACTACAAATCTCAGCAATCCGTGATTGCTGGTTGCCGTTCTCCATTGCTGAACAAATATGGATTGCCGAGATCAGTAGTCCGCTGTTGCTGGTTGCCATTCTCCAATTACTGAACAATCATTAGTCTGTATTGTTTTAGAAACAATGTCACATGTCCCTTTAAGAAAAAGTATCAGTAATTGGTATCGGCAAGTACCTGAGGGAAAGTACTTGTACTTGGTCTTAAAAAATTGTATTGGGACAACCCTAGTTTATGCATACACAATTTTTATCATGAATCAGCCTAAAAATTGAAACTTAAATCGCCGGCAGGTATAAATAAGATTGCCGCAAATGCAAGATGATGTCACATTGGGGTGTCGCCCGGTAACCGCTCCGGGTGACACCCGGCCTCGGGATGCCCCTGCAGCTCATTACATTTTTTTTATTGCAACTAGTGTAAGTAGCTGAATATGACTTGGTATCAGACTCTTGCAATCCCCTTGTACAGCAGACTTGGAAAAAGAGAGGTCAAGACTAGGAGCGTATCAGGTGTGCTGCATATAAGTGGTCTGGCAATAAGCGAAGAGAGCAGAGGGATGACCTTATGAGTCTGCTGCTGCTCTTTCACTGTCCAGTCAGCTGGCTGGGGGAGGAATGAACACCATTGTATTACAGAAAGTGACACTAAACTTAGGAATGAAATCCTAAAAATGCATGTAGGTACCCTAACTATTAACAATAGTGGACCTTATTTGTGTATGACTAGGCTGTAGATCAGGGGTGGCAAACTCAAATTCATCGGGGGCAGCATCAGCAGTATGGTTACCCTCAAAGGGCCGGTTGTATAGGACTATTGCAGCTGAGTGATACACAAATAAAATAATTTTTTGTTAATAGTTAAGGGTTTAGTGTCATTTTAACTGTAAGTGGTGTTACTGGGCGTTGCTGTGTGTCAGAGCTGTGTAGGTCTCCGGAATGGATGGACAGAAATATTAATCCTTTGGTCGGTAAAAAAACCCCTATTGTATGCATTTCATCTGGGTTGTTTTTTTTAGCCTGGAGTTCAGTTTGAACTGCAGATGGTTATGGAATTCAGTAAACACTATGGCTGCTAGAGAGATGTAAACAATTCCCACTTGTCACAATGGATGCTCACCTAACCTCTACAGACATGACATAGCAAGACAGGTAAGAAATATTAAAAACATTGTTGTCTCACTGCCTGGCTGAAATGTCATGCACATCAAATATGCAGAGCAATATGCATTGGTAGGCAGCAATTTAGAAGTGGCTTGACACATACCTGAGGTGACCACTGTAGTAATAGTTCTTGTGACTGAAAGAAAAAGAAATGACTACCTTTTAAAAAAGAATTTCTTCTGTTAGACATTCATTATGATATTTAAATGACAATATGCAATAAATGTACATGGAAGTGGCATGGCAAACGTTTATCTTTTCCATTCACAGCACTGCACATAGATAAAGCTTAATTGAACTTTCTACTTAAACAGCTAATACATTTCAGGTGCATCAAAACAAAAGCTGTTCAAAGTCTTACAGTTTGTTTGCTTTTTTTTTACAAAGCAGCCACACCATTATTAGAAATGCCTGTCCCCTGTCAGCATGCTGCAGAGAAAGACTCTAGATTTATGTGTGGAAGCAGTGGTCTCTCTGCATAGGTCTGACACACCCTCTGTTGAGTCAGACCTATAGCTGTGCAATGAGCAAAGCTCATGCTCTCTACTGACTGGAGAGTAATAGGTCTGACTCAGTAGGGGGTGTGTCAGAACTCTGTAGAGAGACAGTTTCTTCCACAGAGAATGAGAAGAGGCCTTTCTCTAGAGCATACTGCCAGGGACAGGCATTTCTGCTCAGGATGTGGTTGCTTTCTAAATGCACATTTCACAGCTTTTGTTTTGATGCACTTGGAATGTGTTCAACTGATTTAAACTGAAAGTTCAGCTAGGCCTTAAACCAGAGTTTGGCAACTCTGGCCCTCCAGCTGTTGTGGAACTACAAGTCCCATAAGGCATTGCAAGACTGATAGTTACAAGCATGACTCCCAGATCCAGAGGCATGTTTTGATTTGTAGTTAATTTTTCGATTTCTACATATACTACATAACGAGACTGGCAGGAGGTGCTCAATATTTTTTTATGAAGTGGCAAACACATTTAGAAATCCAGGTCATGTAGGCACTGGGAGACTTATGTATCATAGCATACTTACTAAGGATTGTGGTTCATTTCCCAAAGCCACCAATCAGATTTAGATTTTTAGAGCAAGTTGATTGGTTGACAGGTTTCTGATTGGTAGATGAAGAGAAATAACTCCAGATCCTAGCTAATGCATAATGCCTTATCATATTTAACTATGACTAGCATATACTGGTAGGTAATTATAGGAAAATAAGATTCATTATATTGATACAAATAATCATCATGGTGTGTCTTGAAAATGTAACCCGATGCAAAAGCAAATTTATGCGGTATAGGTTCTAAAGCATTATTGCATCGCCTTTCTTTAATTTAGAACTGCTTTAGGATCATTTTATCAATGTTAAATACCAGAAAAAATAATAATTCTATGTTGCAAGCTGCTTGGTTTTGGAGCTTGGTCCAAAGCAAATATTTGCAATTCTTTTGTTTGTGCTATCATTTCCCAGGCTGCAATTAAGGGCAGTTATCAAACATGCAAGTTGCAAAACTAAAACCTTCTCAATAAGTTTGGATAGAATTTGATTAAAAAAAATGTTGTGTTAAGGAATCGCACCCCTAAATGTTATTTACAAAACCTAGGATTCAATTACAGTGGAACTGTGTCAGACACGGCAGAAAAAAACATCTGTTCATGAAATGAAGATATTACTTACTGTATTTGGTCAAGGGGATTTCCTGGTATCTTCTGGTACGATCAAACTTGGAAAATTAAAGAAAAAAAGATAACATTAACTATAGGATTAAGTTAACATAAGGCACTGGCCATTTTTCTATAGTAGCCAATGGAATTATCCTTTTAACCCTCTTTATAATGCACCATTAGAACAAAAATGACTGCTTGTTAAGACTAATACAGAAATGTCTGCAAAGTTAAGTATATACAATGACATGTTGTGAGTATACATGTCTACGCTGTATTATGGTATAAAATTATCATTTAGGTTTGCAATTGTATTTGTAAATCTGACTTCCACTAAATAGCCTGCTTGTGAGTATACAACATACACCAGGCCTCAAATTTTCCACTTGCCCCCTCGCAACTGGCGAGTGAAAATTGCTTGGGGGCGAGTGGAATGTCATTGAGGCGGTGCGCCGCCGGCAGGACCAGGGATGGGACACTAACGCTGCGGTGATCACTCATTTCTGTTCTCTCTTCTCCTCCTTTATAGCTGCAGCTACAGAGTGGCCGGGGAGGAAAAGAGAGAACAGAAGCGAGCGATCACCCGTGGCAGTAGTGTCCCATCTCTGGTCCTGCCGGCGGCGCAACCCCTCGATGACATTCAGTTTGTCTGTCTTCCCTGCTGCTGTCTTCTGCAGCTTCCTCCGCCCACCTCAGCTGCCATAGGCTGGGAGGAAGACTGCAGAGATAGTGAGACACCTGGCCAGAAAGTTATTACCGCTGACCTCTTCACTGTGCGTCACACTGACCTCTGCACTGTGCATCAAACTGACCTCTGTACTGTGCATCACACTGATCTCTGTACTGTGCGCCACACTGATCTCTGTACTGTGCGTCACACTGACCTCTGTACTGTGCGTCACACTGCCCTCTGTACTGTGCGTCACACTGCCCTCTGTACTGTGCGTCACACTGCCCTCTGTACTGTGCGTCACACTGCCCTCTGTACTGTGCGTCACACTGCCCTCTGTACTGTGCGTCACACTGCCCTCTGTACTGTGCGTCACACTGCCCTCTGTACTGTGCGTCACACTGCCCTCTGTACTGTGCGTCACACTGACCTCTGTACTGTGTGTCACACTGACCTCTGCACTGTGCGTCACACTGACCTCTGTTTTGTGCGTCACACTGACCTCTGCATTGTGCATCACACTGACCTCTCTACTGTGTGTCACACTGACCTCTGCACTGTGCCTCACACTGACCTCTGTACTGCTGACCTCTGTACTGTGTGTTACATTACTGACCTCTGTACTGTGCGTCACACTGACCTCTGCACTGTGCGTCACACTGACCTCTGGACTGTGCCTTACATTACTGACCTCTGTACTGTGCGTTACATTACTGACCTCTGTACTGTGAGTCATACTGCTGACCTCTGCACTCTGCGTTACATTACTGACCTCTGTACTGCTGATCTCTGTACTGTGCGTCACACCACTGGCCTCTGCACTCTGCGTTGTTACTGATTTCTGTACTGTGCGTCACACAGCTGGCCCCTGTATTCGGCATTGCACAACTGACTTCTGTACTGTGCATGGTTACTGATCTCTGTACTCTGTGTCACACCGCTGACCTGGCGGAGTTAAGGCTCGGGCAGGGTAGGGTTTAGGTGGGGAAACTGGTGGCAAGTAACTTTTAAACCTGCCTAGTAGCTAAGGACTTGAAATTTTGAGCCTTGACATACACCCAATTTTGCAAAAAGAACCTCTAGGGAGGTGTGAAGGCCTATGGCTCATATACTCATATACAGCACAACAGATATATAAAATAAGAAAATGCAGATAAATATATTTTAGGTTCAAAATGTGAAACTTAAATATTATGTACCCTGATTGTGATGTACTTTATGATCTTATTCAGAATTCCAACCAGTTGTTCATCACCAATTGCTCCATCTAAAAGATGAAAACAGACACATAATATTGTAATAATGCCTTGACATGAAAAAAAACTCTTTATGCAACAAACTATGTTTGTTGCATAAAGAGAACTCTGTGATTGGAGGAGAGGTCGGTCATTGATTTTGGCAGGTCATGTGACAGGGATCTCCTCTGCACCTTTTTTGGGATTCATTTAATGGCACCCCGGTGGTTTCACAAAGTCACAAAGTCAGTGCATGCTAAGCACATTTGCAAAGAACATTGCTGTCCTACACAGGTGGACAAAGAAAGGGGCCCTGTGCAGAAATTATATTTGGGCCCCAATAATTACTTTTATAATGGCAGGTATAATATTAATTATAGATCACGGAAGTGTGAGATAAAATAATAAGAAAGTGCTAATTTCATGAAACAATTTCACACCAAAATGTGATGTTGAGGGGTAAAAGCGCCCTGTTACATTGGTATTCAGTGAGGTGTCTCCAATAATTGGTGTTAAATGGGAGAAGGCCTCATTTTATTGGTGTCATTGCACGAAGGGACCTTATTTATTAGAATCAGTAGAAAAAGAGGCCCCCGTTCATTGGTTACTTTTTCAGAAACAGGAGCTCTTCTGGACAGAATGATTTCTGCACACTCTTGGCTGGAATTTTGAGGGTACCGTCAGCTACGGTCTAAAGAGACAGAACCTGGATGTGCACTTTTATTCACTAAAATTACCCTGGCCATCATCTGGCCTCTGAGATTTTGGGGGATAATTACAGGCAGGAAATGGCTACAATTTAAAAACCTGAGGTTTAACTCCATCCAAAGGTCATTTTTTATTTTGGTTGCAACTGGGGGAAGTTTTACATTTTTAAAGGCTTTTATTCATTTTCTTTGTCTTGGTTAAGAAGATTTCAGCTCACTTCCTATCTTGGTGCTAAGAAAGTGAACAGATCTCCCTAGTGGAGACACAAACAACAAAGACTTGACAGATGTCCCTGTCTTCATTCTCATTTGAAAACATTTTGTGAATGTCTCTGCCCCAGTTAGAGAGATTTTGCTTGTTTCCATTAAAACAGACAGCACAAGAAGTAAGGAAAAATGTCCCCAATAACTACAGAATTAGAAACCCAACAAAGGTTATAACCCTTTCTCATTCTGTCCAAAACTAAAAGTAAATGTTTTGGCTGAAGTTCCCCTTTATAAAAAAAAAGTGCCAAAATAATATGCAGCACTTTATAGAATGCATCAAACCATTTACTGCCCAGAGAAACAAATACACCTACCTTAATCATAGCAGCTTACATAACCTGTCTTGCTCTATGGTGAATGAACAAATCAATCAATAAGAAGAATGATGATGCCTAAGATTGTCTAATATTACTAACCTGCAGGGACGAGAAGTTTATCTACTATATGAATCACACCATTGGTGGTCATTAGATCCTTCTCATTGGAGGCGACACCGTTGATGGTAATGGAGCCATTTATCTAAAAAAGAAATACCGGTATATGAATTATGGCACTTGGTTTATTGTGTATTTATCAGCAATTAATATAACACTATGACTTGGGGTATCCACAGAAATCAGGCAGTAGTAGATAGCTAGAAAAACTATCCAACCACTATAGATATATTCCTTCACAATGTCAGCATACACACGCAGAAATCTTTCTAACAAGCTTGTATGCTTTGCTAGAAATATAAGCAGTAATCTTTTGACCGTTAGTTAAAAGAAGCCTTGGTTGCTGTGCTGCCTTGGTTGAAGGAAAAATATAGCATGCCTTGAGGTGCGTTTAGCCTGCATGTGAAATCAGTTTCAAATGCTTTTAAAGGTGCCCATACACCTGACGATTATCGTACTAGTTTACTATTGGCTATTGCAAACGGAAACGGTGAATACATCAAATTCTATTATAGATAGCTATCTATCGTATCTTCTCACTGCCTTGACAAAGCAGCCCAATAATGACTTTGATGGAGAAAAGCAATACACATGCACAAATAAATACACTCTATTGTGGGGAATGCAGTATGCATTAGGGACACAGCCCTTTTTAATGCATTTAGGCCAGGTTCACACTTGTGCGATCCGTGACCGCGCGGCAATCGACCATGAAACCGGACCGATGGCTGCGCTGTTGGCCGATGGAGTCGCTGATCGCACTAGCGGTGCTATACTTTTCTAATGGCACCCCAGGTGCCACTGGGGTGCCACTTTTCTAATGGCACCCCAGTCGCACCAGGCGGATTGCTCAGTTTCCTACTGCGATTAAGAAAGCCGCGCGTCGCAAAAAAAGGTGCGTGTACCTTTTTTCAGTGATTGCCGCGTGGATATAACCCCATTGAAATCAATGGGGCCGCACAGCACCCGCTGTGTGCAACTGCACACAATTGCATGGTTCTGGGACATGCGTCCCAGGATCGCCCAAGTGTGCACCTGGCCCCATACTTAAAATAAAGTAACTTACAAGTTTAAACATAATGTTGCCTCCTTGGAGAGATTTCACAATGTTTGTTACACCAGGCTCAAATCCGCCACCAATGAATACTCCTGGGGCAAGATGGTAGAGAAGGATGTTCTGAAGACCAACCTTGTTGCCTGGTAATACATCAGATAGAACATATTAGCCAAACAACAATCATTTAACAATTATTATAATTATAAATAGAACTTAGATCATTATTTCATAGATACATATGACTGTCTGAATATGTTTAATGTAAAATGTCTAATAGTATTACTTTAAGTATACGTTATGTTTAATACTTATTAAATTATGTTTACTAGTATAATAGTGATGATGTTTAATAGTATTACTAGTATAAGTTAAATATAGATGTATTAATCCTGTAAAAATGTAGATGTTTCTTTATACAACACATTTACAAAATGATAAAATATATGGACTATGAAAAATAAGCTGAAATTAGATGAAGATTGAAGAACAATAAGCCAGTGCAGGAAATTCACTTTTTTAACTCAAGCCTTTTTGCAGGAACACTAAGGGGTCTATTCACGAAGCAGCCGAAGGATCTAGCCGTAGGTTCGGCCGATCCTTCGGCTAGCTTCGGCCCCAGGACCCCTTCGGTTCAGTAGAACCGAAGGGCTGCTGTACAGGCTATTCAGTCTATTCAGCTCCTGAAGTCGGCCGGGCGGCTCAGTCGAGCCGAAGGCATATGCTTCAGCTTGACTGAGCCGAGGGGAAAGCCGCAGCTGGCCAACAGCCTGCTTCTGACAGCTGGGCGTAGCCAGCCGTCATCTTATGGCTGGCTCCGGCCACTTGCAGAGAGATCTGCATCCCTGGTTACCAGCTAACCAGGGACACTGATCTCAAGACAGCCTAACTCTCCCGGGCGCTCCGAGAGTCTCCCACTCCTGGCCGCTCAGGAGAGAAACACTGCTTTTTTTTATTTTGACACGGAGCCGTTGGCTGGCATCAGAAAAAAATAAAATCACCATAGGAATGCATTGCTAGATTCCTATTGGCTATTTCAATTTGCACTCAAATGACATTCCAGTACACTCAAGCAACCCTATAGTGTTTCCGTTCACTCCCCCAGCAGCTACATAAAAGTTATGTAGGGAAGTGAAGGGGGGAAGGAGGAACTGGACCAGAACAGACAGTAATTAGACACTCACAGAAGAGGAGAGCGCTATGATGTACAAGCAAGGAGGGGGCTGTCCTGGGGAATTGACTCTTCCTGAAGAGTTTCTAGCAAGTTCAAAGGCACATGGCAAGTCAATAAAAAAATGTTTCAGAATAGAAAAACGCTGCATGCAAGCATTTAAAGTACTTTTTTGTGGTTTAACTTGTAGTTTGCTAGGTTGGTGACAGAGTCTTTGTAAGTTACAATCCACTGGCACTTCCACTGATCCACCATGTATTGTGTGCACTGTGCCTATGTTTTCCCAATAATTATGTTAGGTTTTTCTTTGGTAAAACAGCATTTTATACAAATTCTGTGCCCACGCTCCTATATTGCCCCAGGTTGTTATCTGCACAACAGGGGGGCTGTCAATGTGCAGGCACTTTGCTATGTTTCCAGCAGTAGACTGGTATTCCAGTGAGGGGGCTTGGTAGACTGTAGATCTGGGAGTATCAGATGTGTTCATTATCATGTTCTATTGGATTGCATCAGTGCTCAGGTATTGCTTGGGCTAGGCGCACATTTTGTAACTATCAGATTGTGTATACCCCTGCTCGACTATTTTCAAAAGCAGCCAAGTAGAATATACAACCTAATTTAAATGGAAAGGAAATACCATACAATACCATGCAGTGTTTCTTAAACCAGTACTCAAGGGACCAATACTAGGTCATGTTTCAATATACCTTCATAGAACCACCAGGAATAATTAAAATTAAATATTTCAAACTGTTATTTAGATGCACAGCTGTGAAAACACATATACATCTGGAAACTAAGATCTGTTAATGGTCCCTTAGGACAGGTTTCAGAAACCCAACCAAACAAAACCTACTTTTAAGAGCTTCAATATCGCTTCTGCTGAGGTCTTTGAAGGCATCATTGGTAGGGATGAGGAGGGTCCAGGCTCCAGGTAATGACAGAAGCTCTTTAAGACCTGCAGATTGGATCAGGTCTAGGAAAATGCTATGAGCAGAAACATAGAGAAAAGGTTACCTGTGCAAACAATTTAAATTAATATTTTAACAGGGTTATTTACAAAAGGGTGAAGAGTTTGGAGAAGTGAACTATCTAGGACAACATAGCTGAACTGGAAAGTGAGCTGAATTGGAGAATTCAATCAGCTGTCCAAATCAGCTATTCTGGCCTAGATTGTTCACTTCTCCTGCCTTCTCCAACTCTTCACCCTTTTGTGAATAACCCTGTTAGTATACTACCCACTATATTAGACGTTACATCCTAGAATGACCTTGAAGACAATGAATGCAGACAAAACCAAGAAATGTTGGATGGTTAACAGTTAACTCCCTTAAGTAAGCCATATTTCTTCTGCTTTGCTATGTGTTTGCCAGTTTCAATATACTGTATAAGTACATTTCAATGGCGAAACTGCATTATCACTTTATTACAGGCTACAACATAGTTTTTCCAATACGCAAATACTAATGTGTAAATTGTAATTTGTAGTAACTAATAACAATCAACTAGAATTATTCTACCATTGAAATAGCAGGAAAGTGAAAACTCCTTGGCTGGGAGACGATACTCATTGCCTCTTTCCCAGCCCCTCCCCCCTTGTACCGTCTTTTTAAATAGGTCTATTCTTTTCTGTTGTTTACGAATATTCCACAGAACTTTATAGACAATGTACTTTCGATCCCAAGTTTTCTGGGGATTATTTTAACTGATACATTTAGGTAGGCAATGAAAAAACAAAACACTTTAAATATATTTTTCTAAAATTAATTTTAACATAATTTCCTTAATAATAAAAACCTTGCCTAGAATACATTTGGCTGCAGGTACTTTAATCTCCAGCAGCATAACATTATTATTTTATACGCATGACCAACTCAAGTAACACTGTGTTCAATAAATGGGGTCATTGTGGTGTGCTGTAATCTATACGAAAAGTATGAACCACAAACCAAAGTTTTCTAATAAAGCTCTGCCAAACCAAAATGAAGTCAGCTTTCATAAATGACTTACTAGCTACATGTCAAATGGCTCATAGCGGTTTATGAAAAGTTTCATAAACCTGTGTTGCAGAAATGATTGATGAAAACTGCTCAATCAGCAGATCTAAATTAGATGTTTGCATTTCCAGCACATGATCTCATACAGACTTTATGAATACATTTTGAGCAGAAAGACATCTTCCACATCTGACTTATAACAACCAACTCCTGCTTTAATCCTCTGGGTTTGTGTACATGCATGCATTGATGTGGCTGCAGAACAGCTACATTTGCTACTTGGTAAGTTATGATGATCTGTGGACAGTTAAAAACCCATTGCTCTCTTTGGTGACTGCTGACATTGTTGTATGTTACCATGTCCATAATGCAAAGTCCATCTGAAGAATGCCTCTACAAAATGAATGTACAACAGTAGAAGCTCTTTGAATCGTGTAAGACAAAGGCTAACATTTTAATTGTTGTTTCCTGTTTTCATCTTGAAAGTGATATCTAGGGTATTGAATACCTTTTAAGCAACTTTCAGTCAATACAAAGCAGAGTTGCCCAACCAAAGCAACTGGTGAGCACTGAGTCAGCCTAAAGAAGGTGTCTCTCATTCAATGGTAACTAGATTTAATGGAGTACAATTAATCTCCAAAGTTCTTCAAATTCAGTAACAGCATACTCACACCTGTGTTCTACAATATGTTATGAACATAATGGAGGCTGCAGATGAGGTAATGTGGTACAAGCACCCATGGACAGACCATAGGTCTTAATTTAGGAAATAATTAATTCTCCTTTGAGAAGTGACAATTTAGGGGAGATACGGCCACCTTGTATAAATACTTAAATAGCCCATTTAGAAACTTGGCATAAAGTTGTTTACTTTAGGGTCATTGCAAATTAGAAGGGGCATGCTTTGAGATTGTAGGAAAAGAAGTTTAATATGTGGCTATAGAAAGGCTTCTTTACAATTAAGAGCGGTGAAAATGTGAAATAGACATCCACAGGAGCTAGATCTAGTCAATTTTGTAGTTTCTTTAAAAAAAAAAACGTGCATGTGTTACAAACATAACCACCCTGACAGCAAGAAGTCTGACCATTACTACTACAGGGAAAAATAACACTTGCCATTTTTCTACAGCTAGGGTTGCAAAACTTAATGTAGTATCCTGCAACCTGCCATTGCAATAGTATTGGTCAGCATACTAATAGCTGTTACTCTAATAGTGGACAGCATTGTTACAATCTGATATTAGTGTCCGGGAACAGGAGCTTTAATCTCTGGCATATGACATACTGTACATTTACTCATTGGTAGTATCCAGTGGGCAATCAAAGTAGTAGAAGAAAATACTACACAAGACAAATACAAACACACCAATACACCAAGGTCTAAGATAATATCAACATAATAGTTCTATATACCCTCTTTCTTCAAATAACAATTCAGATTGAAAACCCAACATGTTTCGTCTACAAGAAAGTGGTAATATAGAACCCTACCTGAAACGCCTGTCAAGGCTCAAGATATCAAAGAATGATTTCTCAGCAGGCTTGATGATTTCTTTGAAAGCGTGAATGGCACCATTTCTTCCTTCTTTGCTTCCACGAAGCATGCAGGAGTTTTCAATGCATACAGCCTAATGTTTGAAACAAAAGTGTTTAAGAAACGATTGTCACAATGTGCCTTTCACAAATTTATGTTTGTATTTTTTTAAAATATATTTTTTTAACATAATAATAACAATATATACAGTACTGTAGCATGTCTATAGATTAATTAACATATAAGCAAGCAAATATATGTATTCCTCCTTAATCATGAAGTTCACTTAAGCTCAGCTAATAAAATTACCCCAAAACGTTATACCAAACTGTCACACCAGCAAGTTGAACTCTAGTGAGTGGTAAGTGTCTGCTCTTTAGGGTGACGATAATAAAGAATATATGTACAAAACCAGTATATATTCCCTTAAAATAATACATAACAGGGTGCTATTATCAGGTTGGGTTGGATGTTGTGTTCCCTATTGAAGTTTGCAGTAAAAACCTTTAAGTGCCTTTTGGGTGACTTCTGTAGCACCTTATTTCCCCCTAGTTTTCCATTATGCCTTAATGTAGACACAGCATTCAAAGGGGAGCAGATTTGCAAGGTATTCCTTTATTAGGCAAAAGCATTCTAATATATGTATTTAAACTATTTGACTGGAGTCAAATATGAATATCCATTGTTAGTGGATGAGTGGGAAATGTTAGTCGTACCAGAAATGTGGTATAAATCCAGTTGGTGTGAAAACTGCAGATCCCACTTTTTGCTATTAGACATCAGTATGTGAGATGGTTATCAATTCTGTCACACAACAATGTAGCATTAAACAGATTCAGCAAAACAGATTATAAAACATATTTAATATAAGTGTTCAGCTTCATTTATAAGTTCCTTCCTCTGTTGATCTAGCACTGTGCCTGAAAGTGAAGCTCTGTCTTATCTTTAGTGCTTATTCTGTTGCAAACCTGTGCAAATCTGCAATTGGCGTTGCAGGAATGCAGGCACAGGGGTCACAAATATACAGAAAAACCGTTTTTTATAAACTTTGCTAAATGACAAACAGCCTAGGTATTGCTGCCTGTTACTAAGAAGCCAAGATCATAAAATTATTTGATTACCATCAGCAAAGCTGATGGTGTGCATAGAAATTGTAGTAAACTATATTTTATTACACAGCGTCAAAAGTATTTTAAAAATGAGATTAAACTTACAGTGCGGTACACAAACACTCTGAGAGTCTTTCCACCAAGGGTTTCCAAGGTTTGTCCATTGTAAAGTCCATTAAGAACAAACTTTTTGTTGATGATGTGATTCTGCAGAACAAGTTTAAGGAGACGCTGATCCATTCTCAGTGTTTCCTCTATCAATAGACAAATGTAGTTAACTTTTTACAAGAAAATCCATAAATATAATCTTGTGGTGACTGTATGCAAAATTCAATCATTCCAAAATAACAGTTCCTAACTGCACAATAAGCAGACATTTATCGGAGTGCAATTCTTACTAGACATGTAACCATGCAACCCTGTTTCCTTTTTCAGATCCAAAATTTGATTCAGTTAATTTTTTCATATCCGTCCAAATTTTAGTTTTGGAATGATCCACAACAGAAAGACACATGTCCGCACCTATAATGCAACCCCCAACAGCCCAAACAACCCTCATTGGCCAGAGAACAGTCACCCGTCCAATTTAGTTTTGTTTTCAACAAAATTCAGATACATTTTCGTTAAAGGAGCATTCGAATTCGTTCAAATTTGGACACGTTCGCATTTGTAAATTTGGATGCATACGAATGTCCGAAATTTGAACGAATATCCATTCAGAAAGAAATGAAATGTACATGTCTAATTCTTACAATCTTTTTTTCTATTCCACAGCCATAAAAGAAAAAGTAAACCATAGCTTCACTAAACTAGGTAGGCTTTAAAACAAGCTCTCAGTGATCTCTGTAGCTGCAGGCATTCTGGAGAAATGCATCTTTAGTTGCTAACTGAGGCACTGTATTTAGGCTCTAGTCAGTTTCTCGGAAGCTTTGGAAGCCTGCTCTGTGTTTACATCATAAAGGCTGCCATGTCACTGCTGGAAGAGAGGGCAGAGTGAGCTAAAGCTGCCAAGAAGCTCACTAGAAGGCACCTTTATTGCCCCATTTTAAGCTTTAAAGATAAATTGCTCCATAATCACTGCAGCTACAGAAGTCATTAAGGGCTTGCTGTTTTAGGGATGAGGTTTGAATTTGCAACAGCATGGTTTGCAAACCCTAAAACCTGCCAGAAGTTAGGTGAGGTCACAGGTTGAGTCACAAGAGGCAGTAAAATAAAGGAATGGACAGCCCAGCTTTTTCAGTATTAATGGGTGGATTCACAGAAGCAATAATGTCAGTGTGTGGGAGCTGTTAGAGAACTGACAATTCTGACAAGGGATAATTTAGGAAGCTTTAGGAAGAGATACTGTGATATACCGTTCACTCCTGTGGATTGCATTGCTAGGCTACAAATCCTTTGGTACCATCTTTTATCAAGCCTTTTTTTCCCTAAATAAATCAGATTGAGATGCTGCTGTTTGTAAGCCAAGCTCATTGTACAACAAAAAAAAAAACAATAAAGCCAAATATGCACTGCTACAGTATGCTGTCGCTGAGGTTGTCCATCAAAATCATGAATATCATCATTTCTCTGCTTGGTACTCAAAAGGAATATGTTCTTATTATTTTTAATACAGGATTTTTATGGTGTCAGCAGTTTGCACAGCGCTTTACAATATAAAGGGAGACACTACAGTTACAATACAAATCAAGACAAGATGGTTAGGAGGGCCCTGCTTATGAAAGCTTACAATCTGAATAAGAAAATAGAAATACATTAGACATATACATTTTGCTTACCAGAGAAAGCATCATTTAATGGTGCCAGAAGAGTATATTCTGCCTCTGGTCTCAGAGAGGCTGCCAGTCCCATTTGGGCCATAAGGTCAGTGAAAGTGGTCTGTTGGCTTCCTGCCAATTCCAAGACTTGCTTAGCTGAATATGTGAAGAAAGGAAAATTACATGTACATGTAAAATAAATAAATATGATCTTAAGTAATAATGTAAATTATTTTTGTTTTACCAATGCAATAAAAAAAAACACTTCATGCAGTAAATATGGGAAAAACATGAAAATGAAAAGTAAAAAATGTTGTTGATCTATTAATGGTTATTTGCTATCATGTAAAAATAAATGATCTCCTTCAGTAGTACTTTTAGTGATGGACCTATTACAATAGCCAGTCCTTGATGATATCCCATTGTACTTTCTGAGATCTGAATCAAGAGTGAAAGTTCAGTACAGACTAAGACAGATGAAATGCCTGCACATAAATCAGTGGTGCAAAATAATTTTGTAATACAAGTGTGCACTACAAATCACTTCATTTAAGCCTTTACATTCCTTTATCTGACCATGAATTCAAGATGGCCTCATAAGTGTAACATGGTGACACTCTGATGTTAAACTTAAGACACTACAGGAAATGTAAAACCTTTTAAACAGTTTTTCATAGGCTTGCACAGATACCAAGTACAGTACTCGGTACATGTATGAGTACATGTACAGATACTTTTGAGCTCCAAGACTACACTAGAGAAAAATTCAAAAATTAGGAGGCAGCTGTCATTTGTAAGGAGCACACAGAGCTCCTGGGATTTGTACATCTCTGTTTTAATGTACGATTTTGTTTTTATAAATATAAATAAAGGGATGCACAGATACCAGTTTTGCGAGTACGAGTACTGGTACTTGCTGAGTACTTACTAGTATGAGTACTGATACATTTTTGTTTATTGTCATGTGACAGTTTTTCTAAAACAATACGGACTAATGATTTCAGGACAGTGGTGGAGCGCCAGAGCCAGGTCCCAGCTACAACCACTGCAACCCTGGTAGTTCTCATGAGAATGCCAAGTATCGGCACTGGTACTCGAAAAGTATCTGTGATCCCTAGTTTTTCATTTATTTAATATGCCCAGTAATACAAATAAAAAAAAAAAATTATGAGAGCTTTTTCAGGTGAATAAAAATAATTCATTTGAATATTTCAGTCTTTACCTTACAGCCACTGTGCTAAATGAGCTCCTAATGACTCAAAGAGCGACACTTCCTTCCCTCATTGCTAGCCAACATGGCAATCTCTTCATGGTGATTTAAAATAAATCTAGAACATTTTTATTTTATTTTGAACAAGGTTTGGAACTTTTGAAACCGTTTCTCTGTGTCTATATTAGAGACTTACCCTCTATGTTTGCTTTAGCTATTCTCTACTCTGTCCTAAGCTAAAGCCTAATTTCAGGCAGATAAAAGAAGACTAAACCTAATGCAGTTCTGTAATCATTAATACATCATTAAATGTCTTTTTAAAATGCAACTAGTGTAAGTACCGAAATTAGACTTGGTATCTTGCTTGCAATCCACTGTACCATCTAGGTATCTACTTGCCATCCACTGTACAGCATAGCTGAGACTGAGAAAGGGAGAAGCAGGACAAGAAGCAGTGCTTGTGTGCTAACAAGGGACATACTGGTAGAAGGGGAGAGCACAGTGACAGAGAAATAAGCAGATCAGTGTGCTGTTTCTCCTTTTGATGTCCAGTCACATGGTGGTTGTGTGGGGGAGACCTGTAGATGTTACTGAACTGTAACATCAGGTTCTCTTCCTGCATCCTGCAGGATGTAGGTCTCTTCCTGCATCTTCCTGCATCCTGCAAAGCCAGGACTGCCACAGGAAGAATTGGGATCGTCAGATCTCTGCTGCAGCACTATGCCTTTCTCCATTTAGCAGCACAGTTGTCCAGCTCCTGACTAGGGTCATATTCTGCAGAGGGCTCATTAAGTGAATATTATACACAATCTTGCCAATTTGCTTGATATTTGGAATAAAAATAAGACCCCCACTATTTCTATTTCTTTCAGATTTTATATAATCCAACACTTCAGTCTTGTACACAGTGATATCGAGCAAAGGTTAGCTACTCACCTGAGTCAGGAATAAGAACCTCATCAATCAAGTGAATGACGCCATTGGTTGTAACTATATCCTTCCTGTTGACCAATTTCTTGCCATTCACAGTCAAACTGTCTCCGTCGCAGCCAATCTGCAGTGGGCTTCCTTCCAAGGTATCATGAACTGCTCCTCCCATGATGGCCTCGGAACACTGGACGGTGTCCAGAATGTGATAGTTCACCAGTGCTAAAAGGAGTACAGAAGACATTCGTAAACATCAATAATCATATTTATCGTATCATACTAGGTGTAGCAAAGCTCATCCCTACTATAATAGGAAATTCTATAGCTAAAGCAATAAAAATAGAACACTGCATACTCTATAAATGAATTCAATGACAGTTCATTTTCTAATATACGTGTGGATTATCTTGACCATCCCTTAAAGTGACACTAAACTCTGGAGTTAAATCCTAAAAAGGCATTCAAGTACCTTAACTATTAACGAAAATGTATCTTATTTGTGTATCACTCAGCTATAGCTCCTCAAATCATCTCTGAATTGGTGCTGACACTGTCCTTCCTTCTGGAGGGTGGATACTTTTGTTCCCCATGGTGCATATGTGTGTTGTAAAGTAGACCAAGCTCACTCCAGTGATGGACTACACTCATACGTTTAGTTTACTAATCTGTATCAAGATTTTAGTCCATCACGAGAGCGAGTTTGGAGCGGTGTCTACCTTACAACACACACAGGCACCATGGGGAACAAAAGTAGCCACCCTCCAGAAGGAAGGATAGTGTCAGCACTAATTCCGAGATGATTTGAGGATCTACAGCCACACAAATGAGGTACATTTTTGTTATTAGTTAAGGTAATATGTAACAAATGCATTTTTAAAGTTTAACTGTGTTTTAAAAGTTTAACTGTGTTTAGGGTCACTTTAGATACAATTCCATGTTTTTAGAGACAATGGGGTTGAATCACTGAAGGCAAATAGGCTTTTCATTTTGCAAGGGAATTTTCCCTTAGTTTTGTGAATGAACTAAAAGCTCTGCTGACATATATCATTCAATTATGTGCAAGTAAAAGTACTGTTAATTTATATTTTCCTTGCACATGATTGGGTATTCTTTGCAATGTGACTATTTACCTTATCCACTAAGCTAAGAGATATTCCCATATCAACCTCATGATCTATATCATCCATCTGTGGTGTGAACAGCTTGGGTGAATGAACTTTACTTATCTAAGAGCCTGTTTGGACATGACATATGACATATTCCATTCCTTGCTTTTACTACATTTTCCAGCTAATGGAGATAGGTAGCTGCTTGTGGAGACTTGGACAGACGTTGAATAACTTAGTTTAATGGAAGTAATGTGTGTTTATTCTATTATGAAATGCACTTATAGACTAAGGTTATGACATTTATTTACATAGATATTCTGTTCATGGATAACAAGGCTAAACATGTGCCATGCGTTAGCGAATTACACATAAACATAGCTAAAATATACAACATACCCTCAGCTGCCTTTTTGTCGGACATAATCCTTTCCAGAACGTCTCGTGGAAGCTTCTCGAAAGCCTCATCGGTAGGAGCGAACAGAGTGTATTGACCGGGTTTTCCAAGTTTCTCAATGAGATCTGAAGCAATAGCAGCAGCCTAAAGTGTAAATTGAACAGTAATTTTTTCTTTTCTTTTTTTTTTTTTTTTTTTCCCTAGCTGCAGGATCCTAGCGGCAGGATTTTTCATGCTGCCAGACTAGCTGCTTTTTAAAACATATGAAACAGTTCCCCTGCAGGCAATCTTTATGGTACAGAAAGTACAGGTCCTCTCTAGGGATGGGCCGAGTGTTCGATTCGAACATGAGTTCGAATCGAACATCGGCAGTTCGAGCGCTCGCCGAACTTTATGGGATGTTCGTGGACATTCCATAATACAAAATGCCCACTAAAGCTCTGATTTGTTAAAGTCTTGCACCTGACCACAGCGGCCGGACGGAGGAACGGAGAAGCCGACGGACCAGGGGAAGACAGCAGCAGAGGTACGGGGGCAGCGGAGCAATGCAGCGGTCTGTGTCCCCACTGCCTCTACCAACACAGGCGGGGAGAACAGCGGAGATTTGAAGGGACACAGGCCGCTGTAGCCACATGTAACGGCAGCTGTATGGGGGACCCCCATACACTTGCATTGAGTTCGAGTTCGTACTCGAACATTTCGGCGGTTCGGGTGTTCGAATACGAACCGAACACAGGGGTGTTCGGCTCATCCCTAAACCTCTCCTCCCAAATATTTTCTGAACCTTATCTAACAAGAACATGAGACAGCCTGCAGGCAAATTAGACAACTAGTCATCACAGTTGTCAGTAGAGGACTGTGACCTGAATCTAGTAAGATATATTTTCAAGATAAAATCAAACAATTCTTTGCCATTATTTTCTACTACTTGGTTTCAGTGCTTTAAAGTTTAATTACATCACATTACTTTAAAAAAAAAAAAACACTACTACAACTGCAACTAGTGTGAATATCTCAATTGGATTTGTTTCAAGCCTCTGTGCAGAACTCAGACTGCAAAAGATGAGGCAGCACTAGGGGCCGATGAGCTTGTTGCAGTGTACTTGAGCTGGCAAGGAACGTTCTGACATAAGGAAAAAGCAGGGTGAACAGAAGCATGACCTATTACTTTGTTGCTGCTGTCTAATTGCAGCCTGGGATCAGGAAGGTGACCAGTCTGTATTGCTTAACTGTAGTGGAGATAAAGCCAGATCACCAACCTGAATCTGCTGTCTGGCAAGTCTGTGTTAAACTCATGATTAAATGGACTGACATACAAATCCTTTTGCAGGTAAATGGCTCCCATATGTGTATTATATTAGTATATTGATCCGTTAGCCCAGAGTTCAGTTTTAAATAAAGTTTGCTATATTCTACAGCGTGAATAAAAGTTGAATTGCTATCAAAGTCAAAATATATTGTTCTCCCTGTGCTTGCATGGGTATCCTCCAGGTACTCCAGTTTCCTCAAACATCCCAAAGACATGCTGGTAGGTTAATTGGCTCTGTCAAAATTAGCCCTGTATGTATGCATGTGAAATAGGGACCTTAGATTGTAAGCTCCATGGAGGTAGGGACTGATGTGAATGTGATACTATGTGAAGTGCTGCATAAAAATTGTCAGCGCTATATAAATACCTGTAATAAATAGATCTATAAATCCTCCCTAACACCATAGTATATAAAAATACAGCCAAATCAAGGGCTAATACCCTGCATTGTCATGGAGAACCAGAAGATTCAATTGCATATTAGAAATGTTTTGCCCAAGCATAATAACTGGAGACACTTATTAGTAAATGGGCTGAAAGCATTCTAATAAATATTGGTATCTTCCTAGATGTTGATGATTTCATAATCACCTAAAACGCGTATGCTTAAGATAATTGCACCGTAGCAACCGGCATAGTACATACTGTATATTTACACAGTATATTATGTATGTCCAAGAAGATACTTACTCTAAGAGATGACAGATCATCCTCAGCATCAATGTAGTCCCCAATGGTGTTTCCAACAGCTGTGACAACTCGGTCAATCACATGAACAACACCATTTGTAGCTATCTGGTTTCCATGAATAATTCTTGCACAGTTAACTGTGACAATCTGCAAAATATAAAACAAAATATACAGGTTTTATAAAATATTTGATTGTTCTAGTTGAAGCGCAGCACATTCATTATTATAATTTGATAGTTTTTATAAAATACGTCAGGATTCAGGTAAAATAGGTCAATTTAAAAAAAATCAACATGTTCACTTAACAAAATTTTCAATCATCTTTTAGTTTGTATATTAGTTGTCCAAATATAATTCAGTATAATGTGGATTCTGCTTTTCAGTGTGATTATACTCTCCAGGTTGAAGTGGTAGAACTAATGTTTTCCTGTGGTTTACAGGGATGTCATGCAAATGAAGAAGTGCTCTTCTAGTGTAAAATGCTCATATAATATAACCCTTAATATAAATGTAATAAACAATTCAAGCTTTTATGTGCAAGAATCCTACCTTTTGTGCCTTCGACTACAAGATTTTAATTAGATCTTTGGATCAACAGTGGGTTTTATTGTTCTGTAGATGCAGATTTTCAAATTATTCATGTATTTTTCTTTTTGTTTCATTCAATTGATATGTGTCTTTCTTCAACCTGACTATACAGCTAATGTAATTATGCTTGGTTTACACTCACTTATGGACAATTTCCTCTCTCTTTCTATTGTGTCTCTGGACAGAAGGTTAGAGGGGAATCTCGCTAATGACAGATGTTCTAACCCTTCCCCTCTCTGGAGCTAGAGAAAAATATATTTGGTGGTGCAATAAGTTACACATATACTGTATGCAGGAAGAATATAGACACTAGCAGTGGGATCCACTGCTGTGAAAAAATGCAATAAAAATAGTAGTTTGCAAAATGTAGAACATTTATGTTTAATTGGTCAAGAGGTTTAATATGGTGACATCACCAGGTCTCCGTGGAGAGCTGAGTGCTCGAAATCCCATGAAAACATACTGTTGCAAAAGGTTGAGATGCATTCTTGTGGAATTTCATGTGCCCAGCTTCCCTGGGAGACATTGGTGATGCCTGATGATGTCACCAATGCCTCCCGGAAGCCTTGGAAGCTGGGGTCTAGGTATGTTTTTAAACTAGTTTTTGGCAAACTTTAAGTTTTGCAACTTTTTAAAGCTATTTGTATTTGGCGGTTGGGGTGCTGTATGTGTCTCAAACCTTACATTTTTTATTTAAGGTCTGCTCTAATAAATCTGCTGAAAAAATAATAAACCCCTTTTAACTGCAATAACTTAGAAAGAAAAAAATGCCAATGTATTCCAATGGCTTCTTGTTTCAAACAATATCTATTTGTTTAAGTAGTTTAAAGTGCTCTTTAAATTACCTTTGAGTGCTAAAAAACTGTCACTTGTAACAGAAAAGTTGAGTAAAGAGGGATGGGAGTAGTAGGCCATGTGTTCAGCTACGTTGTTCCTTAGCAGTTGTTTATATAGTGCCTAAAGATGAAATGCTTACCCCGTTAGTGTAATGGTTTATCTGCAGAGGTTGGTTATTGAACATGGATGTCAAAGTCATTCCATTTTTAAGATCCTTTGTCAGCATCCTCCTATCCAGCATATGATAATGCAGAGCATTCAGCAGCTCAATATTCACATTGCTCAGCAGTGATGCCCGGACTTCCTATAATATAGTATCAAAATAAAGTTAGATCTTACTTTTACAATGGTATAAGAGTATTTACCTTATTATAACGCAGATCAATACTATGCAATGCTTCACTGAGCCTTTCATATTGGTATGTATTGATTAAAGGAATACAACATAAAATAAGCTAATAATAAGCTAATCGACTTACAGAATCCAGTAGGTCCCATGCATCGTTACTAGGTGCAAAGAAAGTAAAGGAGCCAACTCCTTCAATTTCAGGTTTCAGTTCAGACTGCTCAGAGTACCCTTGTGTTGTTTTAGCTCCCACAATTCCTAGAGTTCCATACACGTTGTCAATAGGAGCAACTGGCAATAGAGAAAAAAAAAGGAAAATACAGTATATGTTAAAGTCGTCACCTCCTCAGAATGCATTTTCAGAGGATCTGCTTCATTCCATCTCATCTTCCAGTATTGCCACTCAAGCTTATTCTGAGTCATAACCAATAGCAGGACCTGTATGGCAACTAGTTTTACTGACAATGTAAAAGAGCAGAAATGTGTAATTTACTTTATTTTGCTCACTCAGTGATTTCAGAGACTTGCACAGACACATAATATATTCAATGGGCCCATATGGTGACGTGAGAATGTTGTATATTGTTCAAAGAATTTGCTGGGACTTGATTTTGTTTCAAACATAGAAGGGTCCACTAAATAGCATGTCTGGATACAGTGGAAGCATTGTCAATACCCTTAAGCATGATTCTGTTATTTTTATGATGCTTCTCTTATGTCTTTCAAAGTGAACCTGTTACTAACCTTGATACGTCAAACTGAGCTTATGATTAACAAAAACCTATAAGCAGAGCTGACATGCACATCCAAAGGATCAGCAGATACAGGCAGTCCCCGTGTTACGTACAAGATAGGGACTGTAGGTTTGTACTTAAGTTGAATTTGTATGTAAGTTGGAACAGGTACATTTTTTAAGTGTAACTCCAGCCCAAAAAACATTTTTTAGTTTTGGATAGCACAGGGAAGGGTCACATTTGTTTTGCTGTCTGTTCCCCTTGTTCAGAAGATTATATTATAATAAAACATTTTTTTATGTAAAATGACACACCAAATGTAATTCTATTTTTAATTTTATTTTATAAGCTTTATTTTTTTTATGTTTGCATTTTTAATTTTTATACATATTAACTTTTTTTGTCTTTTTAATTTTAGTTTAACTTTAATTTTTTTCAACTTTTTTTTTTTTACTTTATTGCTTGGAGCAATAGCCAGCCTGCTATTGAATATTTCAAATTGCAATAGCCAATAGCAGGCTGGTTATTGCATCTGCCCACTGCCTGCTGTCAATCAGCAGAGGAGGGACATGAAGGAGAAAGTTCTCCACCAGGTCCTCTTCTGCTGATTGACAGCAGGCAGTGGGCGGGTGCAATAGCCAACCTGCTATTGGCTATTGCATTTAAAAATATTCAATAGCAGGCTTGGTGTGGCTCCTAGCCTGCAGATGTAGAGGAGGCAGAGGAGCAGTGGCCGGACCGGGGAGCGGAGGAGCGGACGGACCGGGGAGCGGAGGAGCGGACGGACCGGGAGAAGAGGAGGTGTGGATGGACCAGGGGAAGAGGAGGAACTGGCCGGGACAGCAGCGGAGGAACGTACATACAGCTGTCATTCAGTGTCACCGACTTTACTGCAGTTCATTGTACAAAGTTTTTTACAATGAGCTGCAGTAAAGTCTGTGACACTGAGTGACAGCTGTATGTAGTTGTGTCACTACATTGCGGGACCTGCGGGTGGCAGAGGCAAGGAGCGGGACTCAGAAGCAGCACTAATCTCGAGGGGGGGGCAGTTAGACTCGGTTCATAAGTACGGGTTGTTTGTAAGTCGGGCGTTCGTAAGTCGGGGACTGCCTATATTGCTGCAGTTATATGCAAATCTCAATGTTTGCTGTAAAAGTCAAGCTTGGTTTCAGCCCTACCACCCCTAAAGTCTTTTTATGAGTCTTGTAGGCCATTTATAATAATAAAGGGGCCAATAAAGAAGCTCAGTAGGTGACATTGGGTGGAACCAAGCTCCCTTCATAGGAGAAGTTGAAATGTGCTTATAATTTAAAATGACTATGTCTCCGGATCTACTGAACATTGAATAATTTGGCACCCATTGGGCATTAAATTTTTTGTTTTTCTATATAGCCTTCTGGACTCCCTGACTGAAACAAGGAACCCTCTACTGGATGCACAGTGAAGGTTCTGGCTTATGGATGCTCTTACTGGCGCTGGTGGGTGTATTGCATTTTTTGGATTGAACAATCGATGAATGATTTTCACACTAGGTAACCTTTGGTTGTATATTTGTGACAGGTTTACCATGTGAAGATTCATAATAAATACACATTTCCATAATATTCTGTATAATATACAGGTTTACACACTAATTCAAGCTAAGGAACTTTAACTGTATCTGCAATTTTTTCATACCTGCGGGACATCCTGGTTGACCATTTAATGCCATGTACCCAGGGCAGCATTCATACAGGACAGTCCTGTTTAGAAAGAGAGTTTAAAAATTAGATGAAGTAAGTTGACAAAGTGCATATTTTTAAGCAGCACATAAGCAATGTAATATTTCTATGTCAGAATCAAGCAGATTTTGTATTTAGAAAAATTCTATGCACTTTATTTTCTAAGCTCATTCTTGAAAATTGATTGTAAATGGTAAAGCCTGTTTGCCTGAACACTTGAAAAAATACTGCAGTGCTTATACAGCGGATGCAGTGGGCCACTTTCCCATGGTAGGAAAACATTGTTCCCCATTTCTTGTTCCCACTCTCCAAGGAATTTTTTTTTTGTGCTCTTTATTTAAAAATGTGGAATATCCCTTCATTGGTGGAGTAATGTACTACAGTTCTGGTGTTTTCCTTTTCAGGTTTCCCGAAGCGCTTTGAGACCCAAGGGTCTGAACACGGAGGTGAGAGGCTTATTTATTAGAGCACTGGTGTTTTTTATGAGCGGTTCAGCAAAAAATACACAAGAAATTACAAGAGTGGGCAGAGTGACGCACAAAGAAAAACCAACACTTTTTTTTTTTTTTTTGAGAGAGGGAGCTGCCTGCGTTTAATGAATTTATGAACACTTTGTTTCAAATATGTGTTTTACACACTGACACAGGACGTTTGCTACTTTATTAGTCATTTGGAGTTTTCTTATATTATCACCTTGGGATTCACACAAACAGTTGACTAGAAGATTTAATTTAGAAAATATTAGAAAAATATGATATATATGTTTTTTTTTTCTCTCACATTAGTATTGTTCACTATAATATTTGTTTTTTGCACATATTATTTGTTTACTTGTTGGGTGATAGCGCCGCTTCACATATTTGAATGCTGTTACAGGTATGCTCTATCTTTAGTTTCCTTATCCACACCTGTTGCCACTGCTAAGTCACTAAACAGATAGGAAATTCACAAGGCAGAGCACATGTTAAACATGATTCTTCAAAAATGCAAATAAACCTTAATAACTGGAAGAAATAAAGTCCTTCTCAAACATTCCCCAACTTCTTTGACAAAATTATGTACACTTTCCGAGACATAGTGACCAAATCAAGGCTCCATATTTATCAACACAAATATTTGCTAGCACAAGCTGCACAAATGTGACCGATTCACCAGTTGTTTTTTTTATATAGTATCAACATATTAAGCAACACATACAGAGAACATTCAACTATTCACACACCAACTTAGCTATCATACGGCTCCTTTGCATTAAGCTATAGAATGGAATTGGAAAAGCCATAATCATAAGTCTAAATGAGAATTATGTATGTATGTTATGTTCTAGAAATAACTTTGCATTGCCGGGTAGCTATATATCTACACAGAATTGCGTTGGATGCATGTATGCACTTGGTAGTTATGCATGAAGATACTCATTGGGTAGAAATAATTTACAGGAGTGACACACCCATTGGCTTATGCAACTTTAAAAACTGCCATGAAAATAAAAGTGTTGAATTATTAGAGTAATGTTTTAATCCACAGCTAACCAAGCTTGTTTTACTTAAATAGCAGAACATTCACATAGGCCAATAAGGGCCTATTTTACCATTTGTGTTGGGCTGAGTTGGGCAATTTGCCTTAAGTTTTATGAGTTCAGTTCATGCCACCGTGCTGCAAAAAAAAGTAGGACATGCTGTCCTTATTTTAGCACAGCATGTTGTGAGGAACTACACTGCATCGCAATGTACTGCATAAACATGAATGAAGTGTCATTTTGTGATGCTTCAATAAAGTAAACAGGGCAATGCGTCATCACAGCAGCGCCACCCCCTTCACAGCGGCCGGAGTGTAACGCAGTCACTGGTGTGAACAAGTCCCTAAAACCGTGTATTACCATATATACTCGAGTATAAGCCGTCCCGAATATAAGCCGAGGGGGGCACTTTTCAGCCAAAAAAATGGGCTGAAAATCTCGGCTTATACTCGAGTCAGCGTCAGGGGTCTTCTTACTTACCTCGCCGAGCGTCGCGTCACTGCTGCTCCGGTGGGCGGCGCTCCGAGTGGGGTCATCTGGCAGTCTCCGGCCACCTAAATTAGGACCCGGAGACTGCCAGATGACCCCGCTCGGAGCGCCGACAACCGGAGCAGCAGTGACGCGACGCGACGCTCGGCGAGGTAAGTAAGAAGACCCCTGACGCTGACTCGAGTATAAGCCGTCCCGAATATAAGCCGAGGGGGGCACTTTTCAGCCAAAAAAATGGGCTGAAAATCTCGGCTTATACTCGAGTCAGCGTCAGGGGTCTTCTTACTTACCTCGCCGAGCGTCGCGTCACTGCTGCTCCGGTGGGCGGCGCTCCGAGTGGGGTCATCTGGCAGTCTCCGGCCACCTAAATTAGGACCCGGAGACTGCCAGATGACCCCGCTCGGAGCGCCGACAACCGGAGCAGCAGTGACGCGACGCGACGCTCGGCGAGGTAAGTAAGAAGACCCCTGACGCTGACTCGAGTATAAGCCGTCCCGAATATAAGCCGAGGGGGGCACTTTTCAGCCAAAAAAATGGGCTGAAAATCTCGGCTTATACTCGAGTCAGCGTCAGGGGTCTTCTTACTTACCTCGCCGAGCGTCGCGTCACTGCTGCTCCGGTGGGCGGCGCTCCGAGTGGGGTCATCTGGCAGTCTCCGGCCACCTAAATTAGGACCCGGAGACTGCCAGATGACCCCGCTCGGAGCGCCGACAACCGGAGCAGCAGTGACGCGACGCGACGCTCGGCGAGGTAAGTAAGAAGACCCCTGACGCTGACTCGAGTATAAGCCGTCCCGAATATAAGCCGAGGTACTAATTTTACCACAAAAAACTGGGAAAAAGTATTGACTCGAATATAAGCCGAGGGGGGCACTTTTCAGCCAAAAAAATGGGCTGAAAATCTCGGCTTATACTCGAGTATATACGGTATTGAATTATCCAATCACATATTGACCTGCACATTATTGGGTATTTGATGTACTTTACAGCTTCACTGGTGATAAAGTAAAATTTTACTCCTTTAGTAAATTAACCCCACTGAATAAGTAATAAACAATGAGGCACAGGGATACTGTTTCTTCAAGTATAAAGGAAGGATACTTGCTGTTGAATTAAATAAGATCCTACAACCTAGAAATTGCTTGGTGAAAATTTAACAGCATATTTATGGTTTACTGCATGTTAATAGGCTTTGTTAGAGTTTAGCAAACTTGTTGGCTTAAATTTGGCTTAGTTTCTATTACAATTTTTGTTTTTGTTTTGATTTTAGAAGCCAGGAAACCAATGCCAGGTAGTTCTTGCCGTGAGGATTTCTAGGGTCAAAGGAATTGAAAAAGAAAAGCAAACACATCCACACCCCTGATCTCTAATCCTAACCTGACCCTTAGGTTTACACTAATGCTTAAACCTGCTCACACCCAATACCTTATACTTTGACTAGCCCCTAAATCAATCCTTAATACTTTATCTCCCCTTTATACACGCCACTTTACACCTATCCATGAAACATGACCCTTAACACTTAACTTGACCCAAACACTTAAGTTATGACATCAAGCTAACCTTTAATCTAAACCTAAAAATAAACTCTTAAAACCAAATGTAACCCTTATAGTAGCCTAAAAGAGTATAATTATGGTCAAACTATAAATGTGTTATAAATATGATCATTTATGTAGACTGTCCATACCAGTAAGACTGGGCTCTTAGTTTTGTCTAAGTACGTCCCTGAACAGTTTGTAAATACCTCTTGATCCTGCCAGAAGAACTATTGGATAAGCACTTCCTTTGATAGGGTGATAATGCCCTTCCTTCTGCAGTGAAATCACTATAGAGTTGTTACTCTTGCTGCTGCTGTAGCTGCTTGGATGCAGCATGGTTTTTAGCCCTATCAACAAATAGCCACATCTATCTCCATCCACAGCCCTAGATTGACTGATCTATCTGCTTGAGTCTAGGGAAATGATATAAAAGCCCTGCTCAGTCCACCCACCCCCTCCAGCCCTGTCTAGTATATACTTCTAATATATACTTCTAATATATACTTGCCTCTTCTAATCAGATCATTGAGGTTAAATGTGTCACGATTGCCAACAAAACTACCCCCTGTGTGTCAAAACACAGCAGCACCAAGATGCCACACAGCAGCACCAAGATGCCAGTGCCAAGAATGACCAATTTGACTAATACATTTTCAAAAATTATTAATCTCTCAATCTAAAATAACTGCTGCTACTTAGAATTGAAATGTATTTCAAATTCCAATGTTATTTTATAGAAGTATAAGGTTACAATATGTTACAAATAGTTTACCTCCTTTTTTTTGGCATGTAATACACCCATGCTTTGTAAAGGAAAGGTGAGCATGTGGGTTTTCCACAGGGACTGGGTTGTGCTGATAGGATAACATGCCAGAACAGAAAGGTTTTAATATCCTACTTGTATTTTTTTCCCCTGTTAGCAATACAAAATGTACTAAACGCCCATTTTAAAAAGACCTTAGATGACTGTCTGGAACAATTAATATGCTTCATCATTGCTGAATTTACAGTAAAACAATTAGACAACATGGAAACAGGCCAACTAAGCAAGCATGCCTTGCAGCTGAAAAAGATATAAGAATATGTTATAATACTATCAAAATCCTTTTAGCTAAAATACTAAAAATAGAGAACATGTGATGAATAGTCCTCATTGTAAAATGATCTGCAGATACTATCTGAACAAGAAAAAGTTTAATGTATCCATCAAATTAAGGGTGGAATCACTTGCTATTGGCTATAACTCTCCATTTGCCCTCATTTTCAGATCCCCCTTAAAATGTAACTACAAACACATAAAATGCACAGATGTATGCAGCTCTATCTTTACTAATACATAATTCAAATATTTTTTTTTATGCAAACAATGTTATTCCCTGAATCTGACTTGGCATTAGCCACTTCAGTCCCTGG